CGAAACTACATCAGCACTTGCATTTCCATCCTCAGGACAGATGTCCAAGTTAGAGAGAGTAATTCAAATCCTGGAAGAAGACATTGATGAGATCATGTGTTATAGAATTTGAAGGCAGCTGGGACAGATATGTACATCTCATGGAATTTGCCATCAATAACAGCTATCAATCGAGCATCAAAGATGGCACCATATTGAGCGTGTATGGCAGAAAATGCCAAGAACAACCTGTGTGTTGGAACAGAACTTAGTGAGAAAGAAGATTTTGGGTCCAGAACTGGTAGAGAAACAGGAAGAGAAAGTGGAATCATCAGGAAACGGCTGAAAGAAGCAAGTGATCGACGGAAGTTCCTATTCTATTTAAAAGAGAAAGGACATTGAATATATGGTCGGTGTAAAGTATTTCTTAACAAGTGGTCACCATGGAAAAGATCCTAAGGTTTGGAAGAAAGGGTAAGCTTTAGTCCTAGGTCATTGGTCCATATGAGATTGTTGAACGTGTAGGAACCATAGCCCTATCGCTTAGCATTACCCTTCGACATTAGATCGAATTCATAATGTCTTTCACGTTTCATGTTAAGGACGATCACAGTATCAGGGACCATCACACTGTTATCAGCCAGAAAGAGTTCGCATCCAAAAAAAGGTTTTTATCACCACGATTTCCAAAATATACATCAAAAACATATAAAATCTTACGTTTTATTTTTCCTCCGGGGGGAAAACAGGTCTATACCCCATGCAGAAAAAGGCCAGGAAGGAGTTGTTGAATGAAGTTCAACAGCAGGTAAGTGGCTTTTATTATCATGATATTGGCAAACTTTGCAATGACGCACATACTGAACACAGTCACCTTCCATCTTCTGTAACATCCTACTGAATCGAATCGTTGCATATACATGAGTCGAGTCGGGTCGAACTAGAAACCAATTAACGCCAGAGTGGGGTAAAATGGGATGATAAATAAGTAAAAGAAGTGGACTTACTGTGAAGAAAAAAAAGATCATAAGTGTAGGAGTAGACTTACTGGACTAAAATAAGAAAAGTTTAGGTATTAAAACGTAACATATGGAAAATTTTAGGTTACTATTTGGTAATTTTTTAACAAACAATCAAAGATATATTTGACTACACGGGAGACTTCCATTTCAGTTTTGCTTTCTTCATTTTCTTCATCTTCTTCATCTTCAACGTCTTCTTCTTCATCTCCATCTTCCTCTTCATCTCCTCTTATCTTTCTCTTCATCTCCTTCCTTTCTCCATCACTTTTCATGTGATTTAAATACTAAATTCAACCTAGAACTCTATCCAAGTAAGTAGCCTTTCTTAAATTTCATACTTTTGTGATATTTTAGATGATTTATAAGAGTTATGATGTAAAGGAGAGGGGAGCTCAAAGTTGGAGGAAAAGGAAGCTAAGAAGAAGATTTAAAGCTCTTTTGGTTGAAGGTTTGATATCTCTTTTAGTTTTTCACATTTTCTTTCATGAACACTTCTGTAGTGTGTGGATAATGCAAAGATATGTTGCTGAATGTTGAATTAGAGGTCTGTAAATGGTGATAAAGCATGGGATGAATTGAATGGATGAATTGAATGAATGAAGTAGACATTGAATTCATGCTAAACCAGGTTTGTTGGATCACTGACTAGTAACTTAACCCTGATTTTGACTCTGTTTAACGATGGAATTAGGGAGTGTTATAGAAGAGTTATTTGTTCCTCTCTATGTTTTAAGCTGTCCATGAGTTTTGAATCACCTTAATTTGGAGTTATAAATTGAGAGAATGTCCAAATAGTACAGGACTGTGTCAGCAGGCTGGAAATCAACAGTCTGGACGGACTAGAAGTTGCTCATTTCGGTAAATATTTGACTACCTTACCAACGTAATTAAGAGATGTGGTAGAAGACAAATTTGTAGCCTAATGTGGTATCTAACCATATAATGTAGAATCACCTAAATTGGAGTTATAAATTGAGAGCGGTGACCAAAATAGTATAACCTGTGCAGGCTGGAAACCAATAGCTGGGCAGACTAGCAGTAAATGATGTTGGAATGCATATGTAGATTCATTCACCCTAAAATTATTACTGCATTTTACCTTCTAAGTGAACTTAAATTCAAACTAAGAATTTCCCTAATCTGAATGGTAAAATTTAGTTACATAAATATTAGTAAGAATTGCATCGCGGGTGCAATAGCTAGAGTATTTCCATGCAAGTTACTTTATACGTTATCACTGGTATGCGTTATTCCTCATTAGATATTTTCTAAATAATTCTTGTATTATCACAATACACATAATATGCTCCATTAAGGTTAGCCAGAAACCACGTAGATAAGACTATGTCATGACATAGGATAGCAGATCTGCGCCCCATACAGTTTGGTACTCCAGCTATAGGCTGTTGAGTGGATATGATTTATTATGATTTATTACGGCCATAACAGATACACCCACCATAATCAGTATTCATCCAGTTTCATACAGTTTCATCAGTTCTTCTTAATCACTTTGGTTTTCACTTATAACCTTATGAGAGCCACTGCAGTTATGCTGATTTATTTATTTATTAAATTATACGATGGTAATAAGGAGCTTGCAAAATTTACAAACAGCATCATGAACAGCAGGATAAAATCATGAAAGGATATAATGATATGTGTGCTTATATGATCTTTATTGTATTTCTTATTAAATTGTGATATCACACTGAGCATTTATACTGAGCTTTATTTGCTCAGCGAGTTATTTGTTTAACTCGTAGGTTTTGAGACTGGACCGTAGAGAATCAGCTTACAACTGCTACAGTTCATCTGTGGAAGACTTAGTCTTCAGGGTAGCGACTCAGTCTTCAGGGTAGCTACTCATTTTGATATTTTGATTTTGTTTATCCTTATCATGGCATGTACAGGGCACACAGTTGGGCCCATTTCAATTTGAAAACTAGTATAATGTCTTGTAACTATTATTCACATTATTAATGTAAACAACATCAGCATGATATTATAGTCAGCACACGTGATGATATCAGCATGACAGGACATAGGTACAACCAGTTTGTAGCGTCTCGGTTCGGTTCATTCGGGTTTACGGTTGGACCGGGAAGGGATGTTACAAATTTTGGTATCAGAGCCCGTTCCTCTGGCTGGTGTGGGCAACCTCAGCGAGGACGCTGGAGTCCCTTAGGGGGGGTGGAATTGTGACATCTGGACATCAGGAGCACTCACCTTAGGCGAATCCCACATCAGGCTACGGACGATGCGTACAAACGATCTATACATTAGAGGGGTATCATCTACCTTGGTAGGCGGCCTTTTGAGTTGGCAGAGTGGGTGACCCCTGGTCAAAGGGGACAAAAACGTGATGTGTAGGCGGAGCTCAAAGGGACAAAACCGTGAGGTGTAGGGACATCCGGGCCATTCGGGGACTATGCCAAAGCGGACAATACTTACCAAGGGTAGGGCTATGACAAAGACTAAATAATTTGATCGAATTAAACTTTAGAGACTAATTTATATATTATTAAAAAAAAGAAATTATAATTTTTATCAAACTTAAAAACTAAATAATTATATATCTCTATTTATCCATAAAAAAAAAAATTAAGGTTGTAAGTCATAGGAAGAATATTTCAAATTTAACATATGCTTTTTATCAACTAATTTTCACATTACCAATATCAATGATTTTAAGGCTACTCTCTCAATTCAGTTTAGTGTATTAAAATATTTTCACCAATATGGTTAAAATCTCTTATTGACCAAAGTTTAACTCTCACTATTGTTAGGAAATTTTTTATGGAGATTCGTTCAGCAATTTACCTTAAGAATGGAATAGGATGGTAAAAGTCCATTTTCCCTTAATCAAAAGTCTCGAATTCAAGTTCTAAATATGTAATAAACCTGCTTAGCACAAATCCAAATTAGAGCTTCAGTACATCGGATTAAAAAAAAAAAAAAAGAATGTTTAGCGATTTGATATATTAAGGGTCAAGGGATACTTGCTTTGAAGTGTAAAGGCATAAGACTTGAGGGGTAACACTTTACTCTTGTTTGGTATTTTCTTTTAAGGAGTGTTAACATAAAGATTTTATTTCATTCAAAACTCATTTGTGAATCTGCCTATTTTCAAGTTTTGATATTTTTGCTCCTTAAATAATTAATTTTTCAAGATTTTTTTTGTTTTTATTTTCACCTTTGATTTATTAAAAGCTGAAAAGAATATAAGACTTATGTTAACTTTTATTAATTTTTTCAAGGTGATCTTATTATATATATATATTTTTTTGCTAATTGTCCTTACTTTAGAAATTAGAACTATACTTTCACTAATAGTAATTACATTGTTAACTCGAAAGAAATTAAGAATATTTTAAATAGTTTTCCTAAAAAAAATTTTCAATAATGATTATTGATAGATGACTAATCAATCAATTATAAAAGTTAAAAGTTATTTCTATTTTTCAGTTTACATCATTAATTTTCATCTCAACTTATTATTATACTTTTAAGTTTTTAGTAATATAGACAAATTGTCTTTATTTATGTTAGAGACTAAATATTTGTTGTCTAAAACTTGATTAATCAACAATTAAAATTAAAGACAAGAAATTATCGAAGATGGAGTTAAAAACCTTATTTAATAGTATTTTATAAATAAATAATAATAATAATAATAATAGTATTTTATTAAATAAATAATAAATAATAATTAATAAAATATATAATAAATTTATGGTAAGAGACTAAATATTTTGTTGTTCTAAAACTTGATTAATTCAATAATAATAATAATAATAATAATAAATTTATGTAAGAGACTAAATATTTGTTGTCTAAAACTTGATTAATCAACAATTAATATTAAAGACAAGAAATTATAGAAGATGGAGTTAAAAACCTTATTTAATAGTATTTTCTTCCAAAATAGAAGAGCACACAAAATCATTTGGCTCCGTTTTAAATCAAAAAATAAAAATTTGAAGAGAAACAAACACACCACCCTACCCATCGCTGTCCATAGGACCGTAGCACCAAAACAAAGAGCAACCCATCATATCGTCACTTCCCTATATATTACCGGAAGAGAGATCCCATTTTCGCCAGATCAATTTCCACCAGATCCAGAAATACTACCTCATCTCCCTCTCCATACCCAACAATGGGCTTCCCATCAAACGGCAACGCATCAGATGCCGACAAGCCACTTAAGTTCCTCATCTACGGTCGAACTGGTTGGATCGGTGGTCTCTTGGGTAAGCTCTGCGAGTCTCAGGATATCGACTACACCTATGGCTCCGGTCGCCTCGAAAACAGAGTCTCTCTGGAAGCTGACATAGCCACCGTCAAGCCTACCCATGTCTTCAACGCCGCCGGTGTCACTGGCAGGCCTAACGTAGATTGGTGCGAATCTCATAAGGTGGAGACTATTAGGACCAATGTGGTCGGGACGCTTACTTTGGCCGATGTTTGCAGAGAAAAGGGCCTGATTTTGATTAATTATGCTACTGGTTGTATTTTCGAGTATGACTCGAATCATCCTCTCGGGTCAGGTATCGGGTTCAAGGAGGAGGATACTCCGAATTTCATTGGATCCTTCTATTCCAAGACTAAAGCTATGGTAAACAATTGATTCGATTAGTTAGTTTGAAGTAATTACATTTTTATGTGTTTCTTCATAAGATCTAAAATAACATAACATGACGCTGCTTAAAATGGTGTATGCAATTGGTTATGCTTGAGCTAAGTCATGTTTGATTTGAATCGAGTAATTTCAAGATGAATCTAGTTAGTTTTGATTGAACATGGCATTTTTTTTATGAACATTTCGGTTGGAATAAGTAGACAGTAAGGCAGAGAAATTTAGAGTTAGCCAATTTCTTAGGATTAGTTCATGGATTCTAGATCTTAAGAAGAAATAGCATTTGGGTTAGTGTGTCAAGTAATTGCATCTTAGTGCAAGAAATGAAAGATCAAATCTTGCATCTCCTGCCTTATTGAGAAAAACAGCTTTATATGATAACTTTAAATAATTGCATTATCAGATGCCTTGAAGATGCTTAGTTGTTTTATACTTCATATTTTGGAAAAAGCATGTATTTTATTTATTTAACACTGAATATATTTGCATATGTATCAGTGCACCTGCAATCAAACGGTATTAGAAGAGGAAATGAGCTTCTTGTTATTAAAAATGATACAGAGCTCAACTATCAAGTTGAAGAAGAACTTGTAACCTGCAATTCCGCTTTGTGAATCCACTTGCTCATGCATACATGTGCACACACCTGTTTGCTATTTTTATTGATATATTTTTTATATTAAAAGATTCGTTTTTATATTAGTAGTGAATAGATAATTATGTACATTACTTATTGTGTTACTTCTGTTTTACACCTTTTTTTCTTTTTTTATTTGAAAGGTGGAAGAGTTGCTCAAGAATTATCAAAATGTTTGTACTTTGCGAGTCAGAATGCCAATTTCATCTGATTTATCTAATCCCCGTAACTTCATCACAAAGATCACTCGATATGAGAAGGTAGTCGACATTCCAAACTCAATGACAATCTTGGATGAGCTGCTTCCCATTTCCATAGAGATGGCAAAGAGAAACCTTACTGGAATCTGGAATTTTACAAACCCTGGTGTGGTCAGCCACAATGAAATTTTAGAGATGTATAAGAATTATGTTGATCCGAACTTCACATGGAAAAACTTCACTCTTGAGGAGCAGGCGAAAGTAATAGTTGCGCCAAGGAGCAATAATGAGCTTGATGCATCCAAATTGAGTAAGGAATTTCCTGGAATGTTACCAATAAAGGAGTCCCTTATCAAGTATGTGTTCAAGCCAAATCAGAAGACTGCTACTGCATAATGTCATTAAGTTATAGCCCGAATGCCTGCCGTTAAGGGCTCTCTTGTTCTGCTTCAAGACAATGAGAATGACAAAATGGTTCTTGAATTTTAGGCTTCAATTTTTTTTCCCTTACCTTTTGCTATTTTTTTACTTCCTGCTCGTGAGGTTAATGTGATGCCTTATAGGTTCCTGTTCCCAAATCACACATGATTGCAGCTATTGATATTTGAATGTTGTATTTGTAACTTGATCGTCAATAAATTAGTTGGAAGTGATTTATCAGGTTATAAATATTATTTTTGAGAGTTTATTATAGTTGTATGACAACAGCTTCATTATTGGCAAGTAATAGGATCTGTATTGATAATTTGAATTTTCTTAATGGTTGTGTAATGCTATTACTATCTATTGCGATTGCTCAAGATAGTTGGTTCTTAGTTTCTTTTTCACAATTTCTTATTAGACAGTCCATTTTCGATGGAAGCTATGAGCTGTCAGCTGTTTTTATGCTATTTATATGTAAACCTTTCAAATGATCTTGGCTGATTATTTTTTCAAAGGATTTATGGACCTGGACAAGCATATTGCTTATTATAATTTGACTATTTCTAAATATTTCCGAGTGCTGAGATGTAAATTGCTTTTATGCTCCTGTAGAGATGTTGACTCTTAAAGGAAACTTTTAGATCCAAATTTTCATGGAGAAGGAAGACACAGTTAATAATGGAGAAGGAAGACATTTGGTGTAGCAAAACTCTAGACGTCAAGATAATTTTTTTGCAACCTTACATAATTTTGCAGTTCCCCCGTTTTTAGGATCAGGGAGACGCAGGAATGACCAACATTTCAGGAAATGAGCAATTAATGCACCCTGGGATTCCTTGAGAATTCCCTTCTTCTCTATCTAATTCCCTAACAGAAATAAAAAAAAATCAATAAAGAAAATCTTGACTGGGATTTATTGGCGGCTGAACATACCATTCTTGCGATATATAGGAACTTGAAATCTATATGTTTTCTCTGACTCCGAGGAAGGAACACCATAGGTATAACCAGGGAGAATATTATACACTACTACTGGACTTCTCACCACATGAACCCCATCTTTCCAGGATATTGCACCTGAAACTATCATCGTCTGCGCAATCTAAATCTTGACTGGGATTTATTGGCGGCTGAACATACCATTCTTGCGATATATAGGAACTTGAAATCTATATGTTTTCTCTGACTCCGAGGAAGGAACACCATAGGTATAACCAGGGAGAATATTATACACTACTACTGGACTTCTCACCACATGAACCCCATCTTTCCAGGATATTGCACCTGAAACTATCATCGTCTGCGCAATCTTTGGCCCGTGGACTGTCACTGTGAACGTTTTCTTCTCTCCAACAGCAGAGAATGATAGGGTAGAAGGCTTCACTGCGACTTTAACCACAGGGTGAGGCATGTAAACGCTAACAGTATAAGTTGAATTTGGTGAACCAACATTAGTTACTGTCCTTGTAAATACTCCCTGAATTGGCTGCCTGTCTTCTACAGCTACAGCAAATGTCGGGTAGTTAAGATCCCAGGCTCTTCCAAGCTTTGAGGTCTTGCAAACTGTACTGTTGTCTCCGGTAATCAATCTGAGAGTAGTAGTGTTGTAACCTTGCTTGCAAAGGAAGTTAATGTAATCGGCTTCAGATGCATCGTAAGCAAGCCCAGGATCTACTGCTTGCAATGGATTTATATGGCCTGACCCGTAACCAAATTCAAGGACTTCTTCGTGTTTGCTTGGGTCCATGATATAAGCTGTGCTCATGGAAACATAAAGCTTAAATGGAGATGGAAAATTAGTTATTAGATAAAAAGAGAGCAGAACATTTTAATAAGCCACCACCTGTTGTCATAAGTGCAGATTTAATGGCAGCAGGAGACCAGTCAGGATGAGCAGCCTTAACATAAGCAGCAGCGCCACTAGCGTGTGGGCAGGACATGGATGTGCCTGAGATTACATTGAACTTCTTGCTTCTCGAGTCCTTTTCGTAGAGAGAAGGTGCTGCAAGAGGCGACCAGGCAGCAAGGATATCCACACCGGGGGAAGTGATATCAGGCTGTTCAGATGTAAATGTCAAGAAAGTTCCTCTAAACAAACAGATTATAGTAACTATTTTTCAAAATTTTCTTGATGATTACTTTGAGAATGTCAGGGCAGAGTTGGTTAGGTCCTCTGGATGAGAATGATGCAACAGAAGGGGCAGTAGTGTCCTTCCAAGTCTCACCAACTAGAATAGTCGCCGTTGGTTCCCTGAAAAGGTTTGTTTTATTTTATTAAATGAGAATAAAAGCATTTTATGCAGATGTTATTACCTTGTTGATTTAATGTAATTTAAAATTTCGACACCCTCTTCTTCGCTGACTGTTGTTGCTGGCAGTGGATAGTTAAAAGCCACATTGAAATCATCTCCATCCATCATTATGGTACCAATTCCATTGGCTACTAAAATGGCAGCACCATCCGTCCAGCGTTCGCAGAACACGATCTTTCCTGCTACTTTATATGAATTCATTGTACCAGGAAGAGGGCAATATTTTGCCAAGTCTGAGTTAACACCTCCAGAGTAGTTTGCTGCATCTCCTCCCCAAATCAAAGGATATGAGGTTCCATTGAGGTCAAAATCATTGATGGAGAGTCCCTTTTCAAGAACAAATAAACATGGTATTAGCCAAAGATTGATGAGAGAACCTTCGTTGATGATGATGCAGAAATGCTGAACTCATCATAAACTCACATTTAAGACTTGTCCATTGCCTAGCACCACTTTTGCAACAAATTTCCTATCAATGGTGCTAGCAGCTACAGTCAACGTCCATGGTGCTACGTTGGAGACTGAAAATGGTTCTGGTCCTGAATTACCTGCAGAATTTGAGGTTAGAATACCATTTTTCATGGCATGATAGGATCCAATGGCGACTGGGTCTTCAAAATACGGGGAGGAAGCGACAGAACCCAAAGATAGAGATAAAATATCAACACCATCTGCTATGGCATCATCAAATGCTGCTAGAATGTCTGCACCGTAACATCCAAAACTCCAGCAAACTTTATACACCGCAATTCTTGCATTAGGAACTCCACCTCTTGCAAGTCCTTCAGCTAGCCCAGAATAACTTGCTCCCTGCACCTCTCGCCCGGCAGCAGTCGAAGAAGTATGTGTCCCATGTCCTAAAGTGTCTCTAGGCGATTTTATTTCAGAAATGTCATATAATTCCAAACCGTTATACCAACGAGCTCCAATTATTTTTCTGCATTTCCAAATGTTCAATTAGCTCATTTATTTATATATGCTTCTCTTGTAGTGTGATAGAGAAAGGGATCTCACTTGTTGCAGGTGAAATTTGCACCTATGCATTTTCCTTTCCATTTAGCTGGAGGAGCCTTCATTCCTTCATCATTGAAGCTTTCAGATTCTGGCCAGATTCCTACATATAATACAAGAAGACATTAACCAATTTCAGACTAGCATATCATCCAGCAAAGCGATCCAAATGTGTATAAAATTATATAAAACCTGTGTCAAGAAGACCGACAACGACATCTGCTTCTTGAGATGGTCCGATTTTGGCATTGGTGAAACCCATGAATTCCCATGACCTTGTAGTGTGAAGCTTTAGAATGGGATTTAGAATCACTGAGATTACACCTTCCATTTCTGCAACCAAATTTCTTTTTTTCAATATTTTCTTCAGCATAAAACAAGCCAATAAATTTACATTTTGTCCCTACTAAGAAACGCTAACCTGAGATTGTTCTGGCCTCTTCATCTGTCAGCTTAGCTGCAAATCCGTTGAAACTCCTTCCGTAACTATAGATAATGGACTCTTTGGCTGACAAATTACTGAAATTGGAAAACAACACAATTTTCATATAAACCGAAAGTTTACTTTCAACTCATTAGAGTTAATTATATAGTCTTAACCTTGGAAGCACACTTTCTAGCATGGAATTGTGAACAGATTCAGGAGGAAAATCGCCTGGAGGCCCCTCTCCCATGTATACAATGTAAACCTGTATATGAACAAACACATACTCTTAATACATGCAGTGAAACTTCAAACATAAAAAATGGAAAAATGAAAAGGAAAAAGTTTGGTGACGTATACCTTCCTTTCATCGGCATGGCAATCCATGAACAATGCTGCTAGCAACAATGAGCAGATTAAAGCAAGCAACCCAGCCATAGCCATCTTGAAAATCTAATGTTGGTTAAAAACAAAGTATTGATTGATATTTTTCCAAGTTATGTAACTTTCTATTTATAGAGAAGCAATTCACCTACCCCTAAGTCCGCCTTGTTCGCTAATTGATATTTATATATCGATTTAAAAGAATTTAAACCATTTTTCTGAATTTGGTAATATTATTAGGGATTCTATTAACTAACAGGTGCGACACTACTGTTAGACGGATTAGGAGGCATTTGTTATTTCTTCTTTTTATTAAGAAATTGAATGTTTCCTTTCAAAAAAAAAAAAAAATTAAAAATTTAACTTTTAAAAAATATAGATAGAGTATTAAAAGAATTTATTTTTCTATTTATTAATACATTTCCTTACACTGAAGTTTCGACATACGTTCATAAAATTTTGTTGTGATACTATTATTTCGAGTTTGGTTAAAAATATTCATAAACTTAAACACAGATATTGAAAAATAATAAAAAGATATAATACAAATACAAATACAAATAAATAATCTACTCAAATGAAATACAATTAATTTTCAAATTTAAATAAATATACAAAATATAGAACATAGATCATAAATATATAGTACTAATTTCAAACTTAAATAAATAGTGTAATTTGGCGGACCTCTCTCTTTTTTTTTCTCTAATTATTGAAATCGTTTGACAATTCATTCTATAACTGGAAATCTTTAATTTATTTGCTCCAGGAGTCAAAGTTATGTTAATGTAAATTAAGTAGATTATTTTCTTTTTGAAACAAAATAATCCCTATATATATATATATATAAGTCAAAGATTTTTAGTTTATAAAATTTTTGGAAATTTTAAACAATCTTTTGAAGTTTGAACCAGTGGAGTGTAGAATCTATACATTGTGAAATTAGATATTTATTTGAAATCTCACTGTTTAGTTGAAAAAAAAAAAATAATCCATGGATTTAAAGATATTTTTTGATTAAATTAAATAGTTTGAATTATATTATTAATAAAAACAATGGAATTGAGAAAATTCCACTCTCTTCTAAAACTATACGATTGGAACCATGATGAAATCTATTAATTCAACACATTGTGGTTTTTTTTTTTTTTCCCAATAAAACAAATTTTGGCAAATTCATAGAGGGTATAATATTCCATTCTCCAAATTCCGCAATCCAAACCACCTCTTAAGTTCAATAGATGCTAGCTGTAAGGGCTAAATGAAATGAAAAATCCGACGTCGTTCATACCACTAAATCATGCATAGTTACCTAATAGGTTATTTGCTTGGCAATATGTAATTCCTATTTCAGTTTACTAGTTCGTTGGTACGTGCAACTGTATTGACGTAAAAATTTAACTGGTATTGGTGGGGTGCGCCAGGCCCGTGCTATAGTGCAAAGCATGGGCGACGCGCAAGAGGGTAAAAATTTAACTGGTATTGGTGGGGTGTAGTAAAAATTTAACTGGTATTGGTGGGGTGCGCCAGGCCCGTGCTATAGTGCAAAGCATGGGCGACGCGCAAGAGGGTAAAAATTTAACTGGTATTGGTGGGGTGCGCCAGGCCCGTGCTATAGTGCAAAGCATGGGCGACGCGCAAGAGGGTAAAAATTTAACTGGTATTGGTGGGGTGCGCCAGGCCCGTGCTATAGTGCAAAGCATGGGCGACGCGCAAGAGGGTAAAAATTTAACTGGTATTGGTGGGGTGCGCCAGGCCCGTGCTATAGTGCAAAGCATGGGCAACGCGCGAGAGGCCCAGTAGCAAGCTACTGATACGGACTCCCCCACTAAAAAAATTAATTTAATATCGTGTGGGCCATTGGCCCACGTATCAGATATTAAACTGATAGGAACAGATACTACACTTGATCTTAGCCAAAAGGCCGAGAAAGGTATGATTTGTTCAGTGTTCCAAACTTCATTTTGTAGGCACTGTCTAGTTCTAACTCTTCTCTCTTCTTTCGATGTGGTATTCTGTTTATAAGCTAAACTTTTCCTCACACGCAAGAGAGGCAAGAACTGACCTCAACACTCTGAAAAGTTCATCCTAACATGTTTTTTTATTTAACATGTGTCCAAGGATGCCATTCTTGCGATTCATATAACTCCATGAGAAGGATTAGCAGCACCAGATAGAACATTAATGGGCTTCTCACAACATGAACTCCATCTTTCCACAATATTGCACCTGCCATAATTGCCTTATTTGTTATCTTTGGTCCATAAACTTTAACTGTAAACGTTCTCTTTTCTCAAATTTCAGAAAATGGAAGAACAGAAGGTTCGACAATGACTCTACTATGCTAGCCATGTACTTGCTTAAAACAGAATTATTTTTTATTTTCACAGTAATTGAAGTGTTTTCGTATAAATAAAAACCATGAAAAAAAAAAATCTGAATTCCAACAACTGCATAAATTACATTATTCAGAAAAAACAGAAATGTGTGGCGTTATATTATGTTAAAGTAATACTACTAACAGTATTAATTAACTTTCCAATGGCACACAAGTATCCTCTTTCCATTTCTTTTCTCCCATCTTGCAGAGAGGGCGAGAAAGAAAGAGTACGTTTCATTTAACCGTTATTTCAACCTTCCGATAGTGAAGGTAATACAAAAATTTACACAACATCAGAAATTACAACGACTCCTATATTCTTTTTTAATTACTTGCCTCCAAGAATGCCATTCTTGTGATAAATAGAAGAACCTTCAACTTTGGGTGTTTTCTGCAGCATGGTCGTGGAGAATGGGGAAGAATAAGTAGCACCAGGAAGTATATTGTAAACGACTAATGGACTTCTCACCATATAATTCCCGTAATTCCATTTTATTGAACCTGAAGTGATTGACCGTTGTGCAATCTTTGGTTCAGAAACCTTAACTGTAAATGTTTTATCTTCTCCAATGGCAGAGAATGACAAGACAGAGGGCTCTACCGTCACACTAAGAAGACTTGGCAAGTACATGCTGACAGTGTAAGTTGAATTAGGCTTGCCAACATTTGTAACTCTTCTCGTAAACACTCCCTAACCTCTTTCAAGCAATGTGCTGCTGCAGACGCTGCTGTTATCACCTGGGATTAGCTTAGAGTGGTAGTGCCATAACCTTGCTTGCAGAGGAAGTTAATGTAATCTGCTTCAGTTGCAAGATAAACTAGTCCAGGGTCTGTTGCTAGCATGCGGGCAAGACATGGATGTGCCTGAGATTATGTTGAAGTTTACACTTCTGCTGTCGGTCCAGGTGATAGAAGGTGGTGACACGGGAGACCAGGCAGCAAGAATGTCCACACCGGGAGCAGTCAAATCAGGCTGTGTGAACCATTAGCCATTTAAAATTTCAAGAATGTTCTATATTATTATTCAAGTTTTTGCCATAAAAACAATCATCAAGGTGATTGGGTTAGAAGAGAATGACACAACAGAAGGCGCTGCCAAATCCTTCTAATAAGTCTCGCTAACCAAAATAGTTGCAATACATATTTACACGTACATTATTAATTAATTTCATCAATTTTCTGCTCGTTGTGTAGCGATGTTGATTCTTAAAGGAACCTCTTTGATCCAAAATATCTTCTCTGGTTAAAATTAAAAAAAAGAAAAAGGTTCAAGTGACACAGTTAATTATGGAGAAGAAAACATTTGATGTAGCAAGACTAGACTTCAAGATAATTTTGGCAACCTTACATAATTTTGCATTTCCCCTGTTTTTAGGATCAGGGAGACGCAGGAATGACCAACATTTCAGGAAATGAGCAATTAATGCACCCTGGGATTCCTTGAGGAATTCCCTTCTTCTCTATCTAATTCCCTAACAGAATAAAAAAAAATCACTAATGAAAATCTTGACTGGGATTTATTGGCGGCTGAGGATACCATTCTTGTGATATATAGGAACTTCAAATCTAGATGTTTTCTTTGACCCAGAGGAAGGAATATCATAGGTATAACCAGGGAGAATATTGTACACTACTACTGGACTTCTCACCACATGAACCCCATCTTTCCAGGATATTGCACCAGAAATTATCGGCAACTGCGCAATCTTTGGCCCGCGGACTGTCACTCTGAACGTTTTCTTCTCTCCAACAGCAGAGAATGATAGGGTAGAAGGCTTCACTGTGACCTTAACCACAGGGTGAGGCATGTAAACGCTAACAGTATAAGTTGAATTTGGTGAACCAACATTAGTAACTGTTCTTGTAAATACTCCCTGAATTGGCTGCCTGTCTTCTACAGCTAGAGCAAATGATGGGTAGTTAAGATCCCAGGCTCTTCCAAGCTTTGAGCTCTTGCAAACTGTACTATTTTCTCGGGTAATCAATCTAAGAGTAGTAGTGTTGTAGCCTTGTTTGCAGAGGAACTTAATGTAATCGGCTTCAGATGCATCGTAAACAAGCCCAGGGTCTACTGCTTGCAATGGATTCATATGGCCTGACCCGTAACCAAATTCAAGGACTTCTTCGTGTTTGGTTGGGTCCATGATATAAGCTGTGCTCATGGAAACATAAAGCTTAAATGGAGATGGAAAATTAGTTATTAGATAAAAAGAGAGCAGAACATTTTAATAAGCCACCACCTGTTGTCATGAGTGCAGATTTAATGGCAGCAGGAGACCAGTCAGGATTGGCAGCCTTCAGATAAGCAGCAGCGCCGCTAGCGTGTGGGCAGGACATGGATGTGCCTGAGATTACGTTGAACTTCTTGCTTCTCGAGTCCTTTACGTAGTCAGAAGGTGCTGCAACAGGCGACCAGGCAGCAAGGATATCCACACCAGGGGCAGTGATATCAGGCTGTTCAGATGTAAATATCAAGAAAGTTCGTCTACACAAACAGATTATAGTAACTATTCAAAATTTTCTTGATGATTACTTTGAGAATGTCAGGGCAGAGTTCATTAGGTCCTCTGGATGAGAATGATGCAACAGAAGGGGCAGTAGTATCCTTCCAAGTCTCACCAACTAGAATAGTCGCCGTTGGTTTCCTGAAAAGGTTTGTTTTATTTTATTAAATAAGAATAGAAGCATTGTATGGAGATGTTATTACCTTGTGGATTTGATGTAATTTAAAATTTCGACACCCTGTTCTTTGCTGACTACTGTTGCTGGCAGTGGATAGTTAACAGCCACATTGAAATCATCTTCATTTGACGTCATTATGGTACCAATTCCACTGGCTACTAAAATCGAAGAACCAGTGGTCTGGCCTTCACATAACACGATCTTTCCTGCTACTCTATATGAATTCATTGCACCACGACGAGGGCAATGTTTTGCTATGTTTGGGTTAACACCTGCAGAGTAGTTTGCTGCATCTCCTCCCCAAATCAAAGGATATGAGGTTCCATTGAGGTCAAAATCATTGATGGAGAGTCCCTTTTCAAGAACAAATAAACATGGTATTAGCGAAAGATTAATGAGAGAACTTTCGTTGATGATGATGTAGAAATGCTGAACTCATCATAAACTCACATTTAAGACTTGTCCATTGCCTAGCACAACTTTTGTAACAAATTTCCTATCAATTGTGCTAGCAGCTACAGTCAACGTCCATGGTGCTACGTTGGTGACTGATTTTGGGTCGGGTCCAGAATTACCCGCAGAATTGGAGGTTAGAATACCATTTCTCATGGCATGATAGGATCCAATGGCGACTGCATCTTCAAAATATGGGGAGGGAAAATCAGGACCCAAAGATACAGACAAAATATCAACACCATCTGCTATGGCATCATCAAATGCTGCTAGAATATCTGCACCGTCACATCCATTACTCCAGCAAACTTTATACACCGCAATTCTTGCATTAGGAACTCCACCTCTTGCAAGTCCTTCAGCTAGCCCGGAATAACTTGCTCCTTGCACCTCTCGCCCGGCAGCAGTGGCAGAAGTATGTGTCCCATGTCCTTCAGTGTCTCTAGGCGATTTTATGTCAGTAACGTCATATGATTTCTTACCGTTATACCACCGAGCTCCAATTATTTTTCTGCATATTCAAATGTTTAATTAGTTTACTTATTTATATGTGCTTCTCTTGTAGTGTGATAGAGAAAGGGATCTCACTTGTTGCAGGTGAAATTTGCACCTATGCATTTTCCTCTCCATTTAGCTGGAGGAGCCTTCATTCCTTCATCATTGAAGCTTTCAGATTCTGGCCAGATTCCTATATATAATACAAGAAGACACTAACCAATTTCAGACTAGTATATCATCTTGAAATTTTCAGCAAAGCGATCCAAATGTGTATAAAATTATATAAAACCTGTGTCAAGGAGACCGATAATGACATCTGCTTCTTGAGACGGTCCGATTTTTGAACTGGAGAAACCCATGAAATCCCATGACCTTGTAGTGTGAAGCTTTAGAATGGGATTTGGAATCACTGAGATTACACCTTCCATTTCTGCAACCAAAGTTCTTTTTTTCCATTATTTTCTTCAGCATAGAACAAGTCGATAACTTCACATTTTGTCCCTAATAAGAAACTCTAACCTGAGATTGTTCTGGCCTCTTCATCTGTCAGCTTAGCTGCAAATCCGTTGAAACTCCTTCCATAACTATAGATTATGGACTCTTTTGCTGACAAATTACTGAAATTGGAAAACAACAAAATTTTCATGTAAACCGAAAGTTTACTTCAACTCATTAGAGTTAATTATACGTCTTAACCTTTCAAGCACATCTTCTAGCATGGAATGGTGAACAGATGCAGCTGAAAAATCGCCTTGAGGCCGCTCGCCCATGTATACAATGTAAACCTATATATGAACAAACACATACTCTTAATACACGCAGAGAAACTTCAAACATTAAAAATGGAAAAATGAAAAGGAAAATCTTTGGTGACTAGAAAGCAATGAAGTAAGAAGTTATATGTATACCTTTCTTTCATTGGCATGGCAATCCATGAACAATGCTGCTAGCAATAATGAGCATATAAAAGGAAGCAACCCTGCCATAGCCATCTTGGAAATCTAATGTTGGTTGAAAACAAAGTATTGATTGATATTTTTGAAGTTATGTAACTTTCTATTTATATAGAAGCAATTCAACTGGCTCTAGATCGGTCTCTTTCACTAATGAGTTATTTAAATTTTAAAAATTTTTTAAAAAGCCTAATTATCGATATATCAATTTCAAAAAAATTTAAACCATTTTTAAGGATTTTCTGAATTTGGTAATATTATTAAGAATTCTAAAAACATCTTAACTAACTGGTCTGATATTACTGTTAGATGGATATGGAGGCAGTTGAGCATGTATAACTGTACTGGAATTTGGATAATTCCTTTCAAAAAAATAAAAAACATACAAAAATTTAACTTTTAAAATTATATATTATTAAAAGAATTTATTTTTTATTTATTAATGAATTTCCTTAAACTGAAGTTTCGACTTACATTCATAAAATTTTATCGTGATACTATTATTTCTTATATATTAAGAAAAATTTTAGAAATATAATATAATAGAAGTGGTAAGATGGCATTCCAATGGCACACAAGTATTCTCTTTCCATTTCTTGCAGAGAGGGCGAGAAAGAAAGAGTACGTTTTATTTAACTGTTATTTCAACCTTGCGATAGTGAAGATAACACAAAAATTGACACAAAAATTGACACCATATCAGAAATTACAAGGACTCCTATTTCCTGTTTAATTAGTTGGCTCCAAGAATGCCATTCTTGTGATAAATAGAAGAACCTTCAAATTTGGGTGTTTTCTGCAGCCTGGTCGTGGAGGATGGAGAAGAATAAGTAGCACCAGGAAGTATATTGTAAACAACTAGTGGACTTCTCACCATATAATTTCCGTAATTCCATATTATTGCACCTGAACTGATTGGCTGTTGTGCAATCTTTGGTCCAGAAACCTTAACTGTAAATGTCTTAGTTTCTCCAATGGCAGAGAATGACAAGACAGAGGGCTCTATTGTCACACTAAGAAGACTTGGCAAGTACATGCTGACAGTGTAAGTTGAATTAGGTTTCCCAACATTTGTAACTCTTCTTGTAAACACTCCCTGAATGGGCTGCCCATCTTCAATTGCAAGTGCAAAAGTTGGGTAGTTAAGATCCCAAGCTCTTCCAAGCAATGTGCTGCTGCAAACACTGCTGTTATCACCTGTGATTAGTCTTAGAGTGGTAGTGTTATAACCTTGCTTGCAGAGGAAGTTAATGTAATCTGCTTCAGCTGCATCATAAACAAGTCCTGGGTCTGTGGCTGCCTGTGGATTAATTTGACCAGACCCATATGCGAATTCGAGTTCTGGGTGCTTCCTCGAGTCGATGATAGTAGCTATTCATATATGATATAAACAACTTCATCAGTCGAGTTCAGTTTTAATTATGTCTATTTTATGAAGGTGAGATAAAATAAGACTTACCTGTTGTCATAAGAGCGGATTTAACGGCTGCAGGAGACCAATCGGGATGAGCAGCCTTGACATAAGCGGCAGCAGCACTAGCATGCGGGCATGACATGGATGTGCCTGAGATTATGTTGAAGTTTACACTTCTGCTGTCTGTCCAGGTGATAGAAGGTGGTGACACGGGCGACCAGGCAGCAAGAATGTCCACACCGGGGGCAGTCAAATCAGGCTGTGTGAACCATTACCCATTTAAAATTTCAAGAATATTCTATATTATTATTCAAATTTTTGCCATAAAAACAATCATCACCTTGAGAACATCAGGACTAATTGGGTTGGGTCCTCTAGAAGAGAATGACACAACAGAAGGTGCTGCCAAATCCTTCAAATAAGTCTCACTAACCAAAATAGTTGCAATTGGAGATCTGAAAAGAAGGGGGATATACTTAGTTTTTTTAAAATTAGTAAGCAATAGTCTGTAAGATCAAATAAACAAGAAAGAATGCAATTTTACTTTGTTGTTCTGATGTAATCCAAAATTTGTTGACCATCTTCTGGGGAGATTACGGTTGCAGGTAAAGCATAACTAAAGGCAAAATCTTTGCTATACTCAGCATCCGCCATAATAGCACCCACACCATTAGCCCATAAAACGCCACTACCATCCCAAATGGTTTCACAAAAAACTATCTTTCCTGATGCTATATAAGAATTCAATGCACCAGTTACACAAAATTTTGCAATGTCAGGATCAGCACCTGCAGAATAATTTGCCGCATCTCCTCCCCAAATCAATGGATATGTCCCATTAAGCACAAAATTGTTAACGGAGAGCCCCTTTTTAATTTTAAGTCATCAACAAAATGAAAACTAATCAGTAAAGAATTGATTGAGAAAAGTATCATTAATGAAGTATGTATAACTATAAACTCACATTGAATACTTGTCCATTGCCGAGCACAACTTGTGCAATAAATTTCCTATCAATAGTACTAGCAGCAACGGTCAAAGTCCAAGGTGCAGAATTGGATACCGAGTAAGGATGTGGACCAGAGTTTCCAGCAGAATTAGAGGTTAGTATACCATATCTCATGGCATGGAAAGAACCAATTGCAATTGGATCTTCCACATATGGGAAAGCCCAAGGAGCACCAAGAGATACTGATAGAATATCAACACCATCAGCTATAGCATCATCAAATGCTGCAAGAATATCAGCACTAGAACATCCAAATGACCAACACACTTTGTAAACTGCAATTCTTGCATGTGGAACTCCACCTCTTGCTACTCCCTCAGCTAACCCAAAGTAACTTGCTCCTTGCACCTCTTGGCCGGCTGCAGTTGAGGCTGTGTGCGTTCCGTGTCCTTCAGAATCTCTTGGAGATTTGAAGTCAGTCTCAAAATACCAATCCTCACTGTTGTAATACCTTGCTCCAATGATCTTGCTGCAATATATATTTGCATGTACATTATTAATTAATTTCATCAATTTAAAAGCTTTAAGTGAAATTTTTGTCAGGAAAGTTAACTGCTCACTTGTTACAAGTGAAGTTGCCATTTCCTTGGCATATTCCTTTCCATTTGGCTGGTGGAGGACCCATGTCCGTATCGACAAAGCTCTCAGATTCTGGCCAGACTCCTGTAATTTAATCAAACAAATAGAAAAGCTTCAAATTAGCATATTACCTATACATATCCGCTTGAAATTGTTTTGGTGTCAACAATATAAAATAAGATTACCTGTATCTAGAAGACCGATAATGACATTCCCTTCTTGAGAACCGGAAAGTTTGCCTTTGGAGAAACCCATGAACTCCCATGACCTTGTTGTATGAATCTTTAGAATGTGGTTTGGCATCACTGATACGACACCATCCATTTCTGTAGCCAATTTTGGTTTTTTATTTAGCAATTGTATCCATTATCAAGGTAAATAATAATTGTTAAAAAGGTTTAGTTTATTTTGTTTGAAATAGTAACCTGAGATTTTTTCAACTTCTTCATCAGATAACTTAGCTGCAAAACCATTGAAACTCCTCCCGTAACTATAGATCAATGACTCTTTGGCTGAAGAAGTACTGCGATTGTAAAAGAAAAAACCATTATAGTATATACATTATTCTAGTATATATTAATAGCTTTAAGATTATATATATATATAGCAATAAAATAAATATTAACCTTCCAAGTACAGTTTCTAGCATGGAGTGGTGAGTTTTTTCAGCAGCAAAATCTCCCCGAGGCAGGTCTCCCATGTACACAATGTGAACTTTCTTCTCACTGCCATAGCACTGCATAAAAAATGCAGCTAGCAATAGAAAAGAAACCAGTTGCCCCGCCCTGGCCATCTTATCTAAATTAGATGTAAGAAAACAAATTGCTGGTTGATGTTTAGAAGTTGAGTGGTAATGGTATTTATATAAGAAAATGTAACACTCGTTATTAACGTAAAATTTGGCCTTCTTGATCGGCAGAGCAGAATGCAGGCAAGGCAACAGGCCTGCTCTCGTGGTCTTCGCCAATTGAAATTAATTAATGTTGTAATCTGTGATTAACAACGTTCCAGCAAATTGTCTTTGTTGTAGTCGTTCATATTATCTTTGCATTTGTTCATTCTTGTTAGCATTTTGGACAGTTGGTTTTTGGACTTAGAAAGGTCAAATCATTAGTTGACCTATGAGTCCAGGACAATATACCATAGGACAAAGCCTAAAAGTCTAATTAGATATTGACCTTTTTTTTTCAATGATTGCACTGACAAAATTATTTTCTTAAATTTGACTTAATTAGTAATTTTCCTCCTTAACTATATTAATTAATTAATACTTTGTTTATTGACATTCATCAGCACAACATTTTTATGATCTCGTCGTATCAATCGGAAAGAAATTGACTTATCTTTACCAGATCTATAGGTTTCACTCGTAGATAAATGATAAAATATTTTTTTAATGGAAACAGAATATTCTAACTGAGAAAAAAATGATAAATTGGAAACAATATTTAAAAACATTTATTTTTACTGGTTTGATTCATAAATAAATCTATTTAGATCCGTCTAAACAAGTCTAATCCAACCGGAAATTACTCGCCGATTCATCCGCTAGCATGAAAAAAGGATCTATAGCCATTTGAGCCGGCGTGGGCTCAGGTCATGGCCCATGGGCTCTCCATTAACCTTAATATAAATCATATGTTTTGGACTACGCAGAACAAGGACACACTAATGACCGTTAATGGGTTGGGTTGTACCCGTTTACAAAATTAAAATTTTGATATCCATTATAGAATTATATTCATTATAAAAAGAATGATATACATCATTGTTAAAGTATATAAATATGTACTTTTTTTAGGAAAATAAACATGTACTTTCAGTTAACCAATATGTTCACATTGAATTTTTCGATTTTTAATTGATATTTTAAATTTATTTATCCATTTTCATAAAAATAGATTTGCTTTTTTTTAATTTATTTCAAAATATTGAGAATTTCCATCTCAAAGTATAATTAATTTCTTAATTCTTCAATATAATTATATTTAATATACTTTGTCATCAATATTCTTCTATTGATTTTTTTTTACTGAAGTGATGTGTAAATCCTAATTACTTTAACTTAATTTTCTTGGACATGGAATTAAATCTATTTTTATAAGATGGAGTAATAAATTTAATTCACAGTAAAAGGAAGTTGCATACTCCATCTAACATTCTAATCCCTTCTGGAAGTGGTCCCATCCCATGCGGTGAGGTGGAACGGCATTACCTGGAAGTAGCGAAGAGTGGACCACGGAAAAATAATCAACAGCCGTCAGTAGTACTGGAGGCGGGGCCCGTACTTTTTTTGGCTTCAAAAGTCTCAAACCAGACCCAACGAATCATTGATCAAACCATCAGATACAAAAGAGTGGCGAACCACCCAATGAAAATTTTGAAGGGCCCCACAAATATCAAAAGTTGAATGGAGAAGGGTGGGGACGTGGCAGGCCAACGTGCCTTGGTCCACGCATTGCTCTGCTAAATGGCTAATGCAGCCCCAACTTGCCAGCTTCGATTGTAGACCCCACATTTTCAGGATCACACTTCCCATCCATACGCCCTGCCCTGCACCGCGCTTTGAATGCGCGTTCGTTACACAGCTGTAGGTGTAAGTGACAACAAGAGAGAGAGAGATTCATTTTTCACCGCTATGAAGCGCGTGGTGTCTCAAGTAACTTCACTGTTTATGCTTGTTGAATGTTGACCCACCATTCGTGGAGGACTGCGGTGGAGGTGGACCATCTTCAGTCCCACTCCCAACCCTCAAGTCCTAACCACAGATGATTATCTTTAGTCGCGAGTCACGTGCATACCGGTCATTTCACATATGCTTTAGTAAATAAATCTCGATTTCTTTTTTTTTTTTCTTTTTAATTTTTGGCCAAAATCATAATTTATCGTGAATTATCTCACAAAAGTGAGTGAAAAATAATTATTTGTAAAATTTATTATGAGACATCCGACAATTTCTTAAGTTATAAATAGTGCATACGTGAGGCACTTTTCTTTCATTTTGTTCCTAACTTTCATCATTGATTATTTGAGCAACTTCATCAAACTAGCCCACTCAAAATCTAGAAGCCTCTTGCTATAAAATTATTGTTTTCATATTTAAATACTTGACATTTTAATTAATAATTAGTCGAATCCGTTAAAATGAATTACATTTTCAAATAAATTTTACTTTTAAAATTAGAGATTCAGAATTTAAAATCTTTAGTATCGAAAATATCTTATCTAAATATTACCTCGTTCTGAATATAAAAACAAAAGTTTGAATTAATTTAAGAATGTAAACAAAATTTTTAATATTTAATTCTTGAAATGAACTTATTGATTATTTTTAAAATATAAATAGAATTTAATATCAACTGAATTCAAGAGTTTTTAGAAATTTGAAGGTGAAAACAAAAATTTTACATACTTTGGATGTACCCAACAAATCCTCAATTTACAAAAACATGTTGAGCATTTATATTAAGTTTATTTTCGAAAAATTAAATTGAAATACAAGCAAAGGAAGTAAAGTTTTGACCATAGACTTCCCCCACTCGGTGTGTGGGGAATATTCCACTATTTCTTGTTTTTTAAAACATTTGATGTAAGCATAAGCTGTTAGTGGGCCAAAGAATTCAGTGCGCCCAGACAAGCTAACAATTCGTGGGTCCATTTGTTACGTGTCTTGGGCCCAAACTACACTTTTGAAATTGACATTATCTTCTCATTTCCATCTTGTTTTTGAGGCGGGACCATATGTTTGTTTCCAGTATAATAAATTTTCTTTTTAATAACCAACTATTGATCGATACTTTTAAATTTTTTTATACAAATTATTTTTTCTACTAATTCCATTTGATATGTAATCTGAATTTTGTTTTCATATTACCACGTTTTGTAAATTACTGTTGATTTCTTCAAGGGCACATTTTATTGGTCTAAATTAAAATTTGAAGACTTTATTAAATACTCGTAATAGAAAAAACAATTTTATATATTACTTATTTATTTTATTTGAAATGTTTAATATAATATGAATTTCGGTGGTATGTATTAATAAAAAATAATAGAAAATGTTCTTTTTAAAAAAAAAAAAAAATAAGAACATGGAGTTTAAGCCCGAATAAGACTAACTTGAAGCGAATCGAATAAAAAAATTCCTTATTAGATCAGATTTAAATTTTAAATAGTCCTTGCTGGAAATGGTCCCACAAAATGAGGTGGACCACCCAATGGCCTGAAATATAAAAACGGGTTGGACCAAAGAAAATAAATCAACAGCCGTTCAATTGTTAGATGCAGGGGGCCCATTGATACAAAGCAGTTAGATAAGAGTTGGGAACCCTTTGCATTTCAAACCAAACCAATGGGAGAGAGCCACCCAATATAAAACTTGAAGCGCCCCACAAATATTAAAACTTAAATAGCACACTAGTAATCTCTCAAAGCCGATAGACGACGATGGGGACGCGTTTGGGCCCCACGTGCCTAGGTGCACGCACAGCTTCCCCCCACCCCACCTTGTAGACCCCATGCTTCTAGGATCACATTTTCCATGCACACTCTCTTCTCTTGTCTACGCGATCTATGCGCGTTCATAAAATCCCTAAGCTGATGGAAGGATTTTCGTATTACACGTGCTCTTGAGAGCGTGGAGAATGGAGATGGTGGTGTAGAGCAAAGCTCACAGTTTTTTGCTTGTTGTCCCACCATTTGGAGGTGGTGGACCACACCACCATGACCACCTCAACGACCCCTAACCCTAAGTCCTAACCACACGTGGGTATCTTTTGGCACGTGGGTACCTTCAAACACGCGTGTCGGTTTATGCTCAGTAAACCAACTATACTTATCATCGACATTGTGTGCAGACTGCAGACCACTTCTACTGTAATTACTAATTAGTGCTGTTAATCTTAACAAATTAAATTATTTTTTATATAATGGTCCTAAATATTAAAAACTGGTAATGCTATATTCTAAGAATTTCGCTCCAGAAGTTTGCCTAAGAAAAGTTTACTAAAGCGGAATAAGATTGGAATGGCAGTTATTCTATTTTTATCCATTGAAAGTTACGTTATCCAAATCAACAGTTTTACTGTGGGTAAATTGGGATAAATAGTCAAGTCAACGAAGGCTCGTTAGTACATAGAATAGAACAGAGCTGCAATAGCCATTTTGTTTCTTTCTTACTGTGATTTGTCCTATGAAGTTTATTTTAGGTCATGAATCATAGGCATGAAGAAGAAGAAGAAGAAGAAGAAACAACAAAGTTAGACCAACAATTTCTACAACACTGAATTATCCAGTCAAAGACACAGATCAGATCACAACCCAAAAAATAAAATTAAAAAAAACTAAAAATGGGTTTGCAATAGTCACTGATTATTATTATTAATTATCATTATAATTATTTTTTTTTCTCATGATTTTGAACCTTGGTGTTGTTGATTACTAGCAGAGCGACCCATCAACTGCAATTCTTGCTTATCGTATATTTCTAAAGAAAAATCCCTTAGCATCTGAGCTTTTCCTCCGATATTCCCGCTGCTACCACTACCAGTGTTAGTAGAACTTACACTTGGCGCCATAGTTGATTTCTTCGCCACCTTTGCTCCGATACTTGTGCTTGTCACAACCGTTGGCGGTGCCCTAACCTCCACGCCACTCGGTATATTCACTATGTTAACTCCCGTTGTTTGATTATTATTACCATTTGTGGCTGCTGCCGCCACAAAGGACGATATCGGTCTTGCTGCTGCTACGTTGAAAACCGGCGCTATTGACGGTGATAATGCCCATATTTGAGGCTGTTGCTGATGAGTCGACGGCCCAGAAACACCAGCCGCCGCCGCCGCAAATGCGGAAGTTCCGGCTGGTGTAGCTGCTTGGGGAATCATCCAAAAAGCGTTTGCGGGTACCATCATACCTCCGCTGCTTACGGCCCATACGGGTACTAATCCTTGAGGGGTTGCAGTCGCGGCGATTGGAGTTGCCGGCGTTACTGGCGCGAGACCGGAGCTTTGTGTAACAGGGACTGTCACTTCGCTTATATCGCAGAACTCTGAGTTTGAAGGCCGTTTCCGTTTCTTTGTTGTTTCTGTTAATGAATTGTTGCTATCGTTAGTGCTTGTAGGGATTTTAAGGGTCCCACCAACAGAAACGGCGATGGCGGGGACAGTTCCAGTACCGGTGGCTTCAATAATGGCTTGTTCCGCGTGTTCAAGAAGCCACCTAACGGTTTCACCGTCTGATTTGTGGCCTAGTTCACGGGTCAGCTGGAAAATCCGTGCAGCACAAGTAGCGGGTATTCGGATCCTACGGCCACGGCCTTCGACTTTTGTATGCCGATCCTTGGTGGATGAACGTCTACTTGTAGTCACCGGCATAGGCATGGGAATTGACATTGGCATCTGCATAGCCATCGGGACTACCCCAATAGCCGACGGCTGCGGCGGAGGGTGTTGTGGGCCATGTGGGTGGGTTCTACGGTCCGGGTCAGATGGTGGGTCGGAATCAATAGGCTCTTCCTTCAACGGCATAAGCTGAAACGCCTCCGTTTCATCAATTGTAGATATCTTTGAGACCCCATTATCGGTGTAATTGTTATTTCTGTTGATATTATCTTCTTTAACGTCACCAGCGCTTGTGCTAAGATCAGAAGTGCCTCCTTCATCATCTGGGTCCATTTGAAAGAACTCCACTTTCGGGGTCAACAGAGAAAAATGAAAGACACCCAGATAATAATATATGGGAGCGTTCGTTTCTCAGGAAAATTAAATGTGCGTTTTCTTTCTAATATGGTTTGTTTGGTTCAGAGGTAAGAGAAATTACAGTAAGAGACTCTGGGGAAGGAAAGGGTAGAACAAAAAAGATCAAACCCTAGAATTTATTTATTCTCTCCTTTTTGTTCATGTTTTATGTAAATTTGTAATATAATAATAATAACAATAAATCATCATCCTCTTGTTTGTTGTTTTGTGATTTTCAGAAAAAGAAATAGTGTGTTAGCGTGGGGATGGAGAAATCAACGGATGGGATAAGATCATGGAAATGGTGTGAGAAGAAAAGGGTGACACGTGTAGGAACTAGAATCGGTGACCAAATTGGGGCAGGGGGAAATAGAGGGAGGTCCCAATCAAGTGGACCAGAGAGGACAGGTGGTCTCTAAGTCTCAACCAATTGGTTTATAGAGTAGTGTCAGAAAAGTCTGGAAAAGTAATAGTATTTGTGGTCTAATACTCTAATAAATGAATTTCATTGGTTGATGCCACCTTGCTTGTGGTGGTCCACGCATTATCAGAAAGGGAAAAGATCTCTACTGTTGCCATCTTTTGATTATACAAGCAAAATTTAAGAAGTTTTTGGTGGCACAGGACGGGAGATAGATGGTTCTCTCTGCTATGGATTTCTATCTAACACTGATAAGTTGTTTTGGGCGCTGGAAAATTACTGTTTTGAAACAGGTTTAGATTACATTAAAGCTTTCTTTGAAAAAAAAGTAGCTTTTTAATTGCTGAATCGGGAGTTTGCTTCCTGGAAATCAGCCTAAATGTGATTACAGATATTGACAAACAGGAAGTCAATTAGCAAAATCCAATTCAACACTGTACAGCCTCTTGTTTCTGTGTTTCCAATATCTGGCTGTCATCTTTTGAATGTAAAAGGCAATTAGCATTAGAGAAGGAAGAGATGAGACTGATAGGAAGGACTCAAAAAGAATAGGTCCGTTTTATATCAAGGACGAGCAACAAACGAAACAAAAAGGACAATCAACAAATTAGGGAGACAGACATTAAGAGTAATTTTATTAAGAGAAAAAAAATTACTGGCTGAACAAACTATTTGCTATAGAGTACAAACTTCAAGAGAACATAAATGCCCTTAGGACTAAGCATCTAGAAAACCATAACAGCTGAAGTTCCTGGAGTATCACGACTATTCCACTTGGCTATTAGTGACCATTCGCAACCACCGAACCATTTTCGACTGCAATATCAGTAGCCTTCTTGGCATAGAATCTCCGGTACATGTTGTCAACTTCTGTGAGATAGTATGTTCCAGGAGCCAAGAGGCCGCAATCCTTGCTTGTCACATAATCTTTACCCCCGTACCTATGCTCCATTAGCTTCAGGGTCTCTACAAACTTCTCTGGGGGGAACTGCATGAGATTTATGAAGTTTAGTACAATGTATTTAATTACTTAAACAAATATACACTAATTGTCCCTTGCTTTAGGAGTAAAACTAGGTTTTCCGCTTTTTTCTCCCTTCCTGATTTACTGGTACCACGATATTTTCTTAGTTATATATTCCATGACAAACACTAAAAAGTACCTCAGATCACCTAAAAATGATCAGAAATATGTCTGCATGTTTACTGCTCCTTCTGCGGTTGTTTTGGCGCTGCTTCTGCACGATTTCTATCGAGTTGCATGCTCCAGGAATGCAGTTTTATATTTCGTTCTTTTTGGGACTTTGCCCTCATTTTATCGCCAGAAAAAGGCTTAAGAAAGGTGGAGTCACATTTTAAAGCCAAGCTCTGACGTTGGCAGGTTTCTTCAAGTTTATGTGACAGTTGAAATGCATGTTCACGTATCGAAGACCGTCTAACACATCTAGACCTAGCATGCATACCCAACACATCTTTGAAATCCATTCCAATTTAAGGAGTTAATAAATACCTCATGCCTTGCCTTCAACTTTCCTGCAACATTCATCACATTTGCAATGTTTGACAAGCTAAAGGGATATTTGCCTTCATTTAGTTGCAACGAGAACATTGTGGCCGTCAAACCACTTCCATATGAGAACAGTATCACTCGATTGCCTGCCTGAAAGTAGTCAAAACCAAACTCCATAAGCACTATCAAAGGCAAAGGTGTACTAACCATCAATCAGCAACAAAAGCATTTAATTCCCAAAGTGGTGGCGTCGAATTTGAATACAGAAATTCACAGTAAAAACAATTACCAATTCAGTATGTTTATTGTGAAGAAGGGATGCAAATGCTGCATACAGAGATGCAGTATACATATTGCCAACTTGCTTTGGTATCAAAGTGGTTGGTTGCACCTTTGCATCATAAAGGGGCTTGGCAACTTGTTGGGATACCTGAAGATGCAAGATATAAACAGTGATTAGTCAGAAATATGCTTCAATCTGCACAACTACATAATTCTCGTTCAAAATCCAAAACCCTTTGGAATAGAAATTTAAAGACTAAGATTGTGCTTTAGTTTTCAGTTCAAATTTTAATAAACAGAGATTTGGACTTAAAAAATATATACATGCTACCAACTATTAAAGAGTGTACTAGAAATCACAACTCTTTGGCATGGTACTTGTTTCAGATTCTCCACCAAACCAATCTTTATTCATAGTCATAAGCCTAACCTCCATTCAACAAATATATCCAATCAATATGTCACAAACACCAAATTAACATCAAATCTCCTCAATTCAAATCCTTTGTGCATCCAAATAAACTTTTAAGCAATTTTGCAACACGAAAATCAAAAACTGTAGTCTTCAGCATGGAACGTTGTTAAAAATGTGGAATTTTATATGTAAGAAGTAGAACCATCTTCTTTTTCCTTCTTTGTCCTTTCGGCTGCTTTTCAAGGACTCCAAATATTTCAAATTTAATAAATTGTTCAAACATAAATACATCAGAATACATTTTTTACGAATTTTAAGCCAACAGGAATATATCCCTGACAAGACAAAAAAAAAAAAAAAGAAACTATGTCTCAGTTGAGACTTCTCAAAGGAACTAACTGGCTTTAGGGATAAAAAGAGGTGAAGAAAGAGGAGAAAAAAAATATTGAAGTTTCTAAACAAACCTTTTCAAGATCTCGGTTTTGGTAGCTCTCATCACCAGATAAAGTTGCAAATGGTGCAAGCTTTTCTTTACCTGCCTCATCAATAGAACTGCAAATAAGGGTAAATATAGTTAATCACTGGACACCTGTAAATGAAATAGTAGAAATTCTCAAACAAAATTAATTTAAGTTTCTAAAGAATGTTTGAAAGGCAAGAACCTAGCATTTCTCAGAAAGTCATTGAACACCAAACGAGCAAAGCTTTTCTGTACAAGCTGCAGTAGGTTCAAGTTGCTGTGTTAAACATTTACAAAAAGTTGCAGTGGTTGCTTTAAGCACTTTAGAAATGCCATTGATAAGCCAAAGAAAACAAAGTGACAGGAAGATGATAATATATAATTTACCTTGTTATAAGGAGAATGAAATACAAAATATTCAGCATCAGATATAGAGAATTGTTTGCCCTTGAATTTCTCATACCTATAGAAAGTAAGCAGTAAGGCGTTTACACATCGCTGCCAATTATAAAAATCTATATTTGAATTAGAAAATTCTCGGTGCTTCATAGAATCCTCTTACTTGGCACAAAAATTTTTGTAGCAGGAATCAAGAGCCATGAGGTAGCACGTTTGAGAAAGCTTGCCATCCACAACCTGCAACAGCAGTTGTCAACATATGAAAAGATAGTTAAGAAAATGAATAAGATACGTCCAAAAATAATAGCAAACAATTTATCTATGAAAATTGGTTTCTTCGTTTCATTTCAAATATATTCTAGTAGAAGTAGTCAAAAGTTTACATGGCTAAATAAATTAGCATCAGCATTTGGCAAATCTAAGAAGAAGAAGAAGAATACTAGTAAAACAAACAAATACAGAAGGGAATTGGGAATGATTACCGGGTATTCACTAGCCAGGTTGGGCTTGTAAAAATCATAAGTGTGAGACATATGGCTCCCCCTAAATTTGCTTTCAAAAGCAATAGGTGCATCTGGACCTATTAGAATTGCAATGGCTGCAGCTCCTCCAGTAGGTCGGGCTGGACCTTCTGCATAGACCTGATAAACAATAAGTAAGTAAAAAGAACACTTCAAGGAAATGTCAGGATGTTCGGCTTCTGAATTTACAAATTTGTATCCTATTACATAAGACAACGTTCAAACCAGAGTAATGAAAAATAAAAATGCATCCCAAATTCAGATATTTTTATCCTGTTTGAATATTCAAGTGAAAAATAAAGCAAGTTTGCTGTAGGCCAAGGATATGAACATACCGCACTGTCAGTACACACTACAAGTCCGTAGCGTCCATCCCATGAGTTGCTCTCAACCCAGTTGACACAGTTGAGTAAAGCTGCTGTCCCCCCATAACAGGCATTAGTTGAGTCAACACCTTCAACATCAGTGTTTCCATATTTCTGCTTGTTTTGCAAGAGAAAGAAAAGGGAGTGAATAACATATATTGGAAGGCAGAGGCAAAACAAATTACAAAAATTAAATGTCAATAACTCATAGCCCACTACCTACCAGGAAAGAATTTCACAGCAGAAACCCAAAAATGATATCAAATTGTTGAATATTGAATTAAATGAGATGGAGGCAATAAATGTATATGGTTAGGAATCAAAATCAAAATCCCTAAAAGAAAACACAAAAAGAAAAAGAAAAAAAAAAGCTATCAGCTACTAGTTGGTCGGGATCCCTGCTTTCCTCTATAATAGGACAAATTCAACAACAGGTTATAGGCTAGCTCCACAACATGGTACAGTTTAACCAGCCTTCCCAAATCCAAACTGCCCAGTTTCTACAGCAGCCCACTAGCATTTTTAAATCCAAAAAATTGGAGCTATAACCAGGAATGTTTAAAGAATTTTCAGAATATACACTAGCATAATTCAACAGAGTAGGTGTTCCATTCATATCTCACACCTTTGTACTTGCACAATATCAAATCTAATCCCCTGAAATACCTCCACTTTACTGAGATTTTAGTTCGACACATTGGCAACACTTGTTTCTAGCCTTGCATAACAAGAAAGCAAGAAATTATTTCAAATAAGAACATCCTGATTTATAAAAGAGTACCTCAAAAATTTGCATCAAGAAGGTCTTGATAGATTTGCTCTTGTCAATCACAGTTTCACTGCCAACTTCCAGACGACCAATTTGTTTAGGATCAATATTATACTTCTCAAGGAGTGAAGAAACAGCTGTCAAACTGGAAAATCGAAAATCAGTGATGATCTTAACTAAAAATCAGCCAAACAGTTGATAAAACACAATCATATTAAAAGGAAAATATAATGTAGAACACTGAAACCTCATCGAGATGACATCTTCCACTTCAGAACAAAATGCCATGCAATCTTGTCCAAGTCCAACGGTATATTTTCCTTTACTTGCGCCGTCATGAGCCTCTAGTGCTTCCTATTTCACCAATAAAAAGAAAATCACCAAATCAACAAACAAATTCATGTATAAGTTGAGCCTTTTTTTTTTTTTTTTTTTTTTTTGGAAAGAGCATATGTAGATTTATGTAATTCAATGGGCTTGAAAATATGCTATAACATCCCTTTCTTCCTCCTTTTGATTAATACGACGAAGAATTCCATTATTTTTTTTTTTTTTTTTTTTTGAAAGAATATATGTAGATTTATGTATTAATGGTGAAAATATGTATAAATTCCTTTCTTCTTCTTTTTTATTAATAACGAAAATTCATAGCAAAAATGCTTCATCTGAGAACTAAGATACATAAAATCAATAAATAGATGACGATTTACAGAAAATATAAATCTAAACAAAAAAAGTTGAAAAGGAGAATTAAAAAGAATAAATATATTATCATAAATCAAATCCGAATTCCTTAACATTTCATCAGCAAAATGAAGCTCAATTGAGCTCGATTCATTTTATATAAATAATATATGTTTAAACGGAAAAAAATATCTCGAAAACGACACATTTCATTTTCTCAACAGACAAACAGAAAATCAAACGACCCGAAGTAACAACAGCAAAAATATTGAGAGAGCGAGGCAAACAAATCACCTGCTGAACACAGGTAGGAGGGAAGTAGATGTCCATAGCGAGAATTCCTACATTCTTCGCCATTTCTTCTCGCTTCTCTAGTTCTTCTTCGAAACAAACAGTCACAAACTAACAAATCAAATACAAAACCGAACAAACAATTCTCTCCTTCTCTCTATTAATACAGATATTTCAAGTATCAGAGAAGCTGTATAATAAGTGGGGTCCTCAAAAGCAGCAAAGAAAGAGGAGAGACGATGGGTGCTCACATGAAGGTCGTTGAAGTTTTATAGGGAAAAAAAAAATTTCCCTCTTCTGCTCTGTATTGAGTCCTTCCTGTCAAATGCAGGCTTCGTGAGTTTGTGACTAACGGGTGGAATCTTTTTTGAGACATTACTTTCCCATTATTTACCTTTTTTGCCATTCTCCGTTAGAGAGGTCGAATAGTGGAATCTAACCGACTGTGTGGGGGATTGCTACCATGGAATGTCGTTTTCTACTGTCTTTCATTTTCTTCTTTAAAAAAAATAATTACACATTGCACTCCAATTCTTGACTTTTTTATTTTTTCCACAATTAGTAATTTATTTTCAAGATATAAAATAAGATATTTTCCCAAAAAATAATCAAATATGCTAAAAAAATTGGAGGAAATTATATAAGAATAGTATTCCTCTTGTAATTTACAATTATATTTTTTTGAAATTAATTTAAAATTATAATTTATTTTGTAAAGATAAAAAATTTTAAGAGTTGAGATCTTCATATTCCTTATATTTTAGATTAGAAAATTAATTAATCTATTTATTAATACATTTCTTATGTACCGTAGGTACTATATTGGATTTGAATCAGATTTAGGATCAATATATATTAATTGGCTGCCTCCGCCATGTTGTCGCTACCAAATATTACTATTTTTTTATTTTGGAACTTTCAAATTTTAAATTTTCATTTTGTACATAAAATTTTAAACGCCAATCTAAAGTTGCAGGAATTTATTTCCAAACTACTCAACTCAAAGGTAGATTAAAGAAATATATGCTAGTAAAAAAAAGGTAATTAATAAAAAAAATCATCTATTACTCAACGATAATCCAAGAATGTAAGACTTGGTTTTGAATTTTTATTCGCTAAATTGATGAGTAAGTAAACAGTTATTCATTGGCATTATGCATTTTTCATTTGGATTATTTATTTATTTATTACTTTCTTTTATATATATATATATATATATCAAACATCTTTTCCGTGAAGAGTGTCAAAAAGGATTACTAAATATTAGAGTGATATTTCCAATTCCTGTCAAATATTTATTTTGATTAATTATCTAAATACATACGATAAAACATTACTCCTTTCATTTCAAAATTATAGCCCCAGTTTGTTACATAGTTTTAAAATCATTAATTAAATTAGTTTAATTATCTTTTTCTTATTTTTTCACATGTATCCTTGCAAAACTTTAAAGGTAAAATTGTATATTATTAATAATTATTTTAGATTTTCAAAATAGAACGAATTCTTTGATATACAAAAATTTTAAAACTAATTATGTTAAAACTCTTTTAAACTCCATTGTATAAGTATATTGTGAAAAATTAAAAAGAAATATTTTTAAAATATAAATAAAATTATTATTTTAAACTATCCATAAAAAGTAGGATTATAATTTTTGGAAGGAGAAAGTACTTACTAATATATTCTGGAAGCCCACTAATTTAATCAAAAGATACCTTGGCGAGTAGCGTGATTAAACATAACGGTTGGCAACGGAGATGTGATAAAAATTTTCACAGCCTTGTGAAACACGACAAACAAGAAATGAGGTGCACTTTTTTTTTCCTTCTGTGTTAAAAATGTATGTGGGTGTCAGAAAGACAGTGACTGACAGACAAGCCATGTTAGAAAAGTCTCCCGTCATCTGTCATATCCCCGGTGATGTATTGTAGGCCTAGCCAGCGATGGCTATTGGATAGTGAGCCACCCAACCGACTCCGATTTACATTTTTCTCCCTTTCATTTTGATTAATTTATATAAATTTTCATCACACAATTTAATCAACTTTAATTTTAACTTTTTAGTTGTAATTGGCTTACAAAAATAACGTGCATTTTACAACAATAAATTATATTTTCTCTTAAAAATAATTACCAATAACAATTATATCCTAATTGTTGGTAATATTAAAGTTAATGTTTGATATAATTATTATGTCATTATAGCTAAATATTTTTTCTAATAAATATTAATTTTAACGGTAGCAACAGTTCATAAATAACAATGGTTTTGAAAATTTATATTCAAATTAATGTTATTATTTAGTTGTTTATCTTTACTATTCTTTAAATATATTCAAATTAAAATTTTCGACAAATAACTAAATAATTTAATAAAACTAAACTTTTGATATTAATCAATATGTTTAACAAATAAGAGGGATAAAATTATAATTATGATCAAAATCTGAGACTAAATAATTATTTTCCTCTCAGTACTTATTAAAGCCCTGTCTCTGGTCATGAAGGATTCTCACTTTTGTCTAATTCTGTATAAGCAGATCGTAACTTCTTGTGTTTATCATAATAATCTAGCCATCCACCCCACTTATCATCTACCGCAAAACGCCAAATAGTCCAGCACATTGATTCTCTACCGTTGATCTCATTCGCAGGTGAAAGATGGACGGCACCTAGAAAGTATAAACTTTGTTCGTACACCAGTAATGGCGAATATTATCTCCAAAAAGAGAAAAAAGTAGAATATTCGATTAATCACATCTAAGCCCACACTAATGGATCGTTAGAAATTAAAAAGACAATTATACTCAGCAGTTACATGGATACGGTTTTTTGGTGCACTATACTTATCGGCCGTCGGATGAGTCAAAAATCAAAGTATGCTTCTGTTTGTTTGAGGTGGGGCCTATTTGGGGTGGTTGGGGAACTTAGGAGGGGGGGCATTTGCACGTGAAACAAATGGTGATATTTTAAGAGGGAAACGCAAAAGCAGCTGTCCCTTAATCAAATATTATTTTTCCTCGTCAAAAGATTTAATGCGCCGAAGAGATATTATGAACTACAAAATATAGGTAAGTCTACATACATAAATTGAAACCTTCCATTTTTTAAATTAGTGAAAAATCTGAAAAATAAGAAAACGTCTCATCGACTTTAATATAATATTAATTCTTAATTATGGATGCTAACCAACATCTGTCCCATAAATTTGGGAAGTTCATTTAATGCGTGCGTGTGCACAATTGTCAACGCTATGAGAAAGAAGAACCTCATCCATTAATATAGGAACACACGTCCTTAAGCTCAAGACAAGACGCCACGATGCTATTTAGATAAAGTCCTTCTAATGGTACCGATTTTAAATTTTTAATAGAATTAAATTTAAACAGTTTTTGATTTTATATAATACTTAAGAAAATGCTAAATTACCGCAATTTTATGAGAAAAAGATAATTGATTAAATTTTTTAATTAATTTATTTAATTGAAATAAAGCTTGGTGGAGATATTGATGCAAAGATAAAATCAAATAAATAAACTAATATTACCTTAATTTTTTAAAAGTGTTATATAAAAAATCAAAAATTATTAAATTTAATAGAATCGATGAATATTATATTTTTGTTAATAAATAAATACTCCATCCCTCCCATAATTTTATCCCATCATTCTTTTCATTTAGTGAATTATTATCATATTTTCTTTTTTTTTTCTAAAAAAGAGATTAAATTAGTCCATATTTAATATGCATTTCTATCAACATTCAACAAAGTCATTATTGTTCCTTATGTCAACATTCAACGTTCATCAAATCATTTAATTATAATAGAATAACAAGGATTGTTTAATTATTAATAGAAGGGTACATTATGGTAAAATAAAAAAATTATATTTAACTCTATTAACTGTATTTTCTTAATGTGTATAAAAGTAAAATTAAGGGCACGAATTATGGACAAAGGGAGCATTTGTTTTGGATACGAATTAAAAACTATGTTTTCAAATTCATAATTAAACAACTATTGATTTGAAAAAAAAATTATTAAAACTTAAAATTAATATACAATGCATATTTATAATTTCTTCTTATACTTTTATTAGTATTTTAATTATAATTAACTATTGATTCCCCGTAAAGATTGAGTGTATCCCAAAGAAATTACTTATTCATATTTAATTATTTAAATAAATAAATAATGATAATTACTTTAACGCAAAAAAACAAAAGCCAGCTGACTTGGTTGGAAAAATAAGTAGTCACAATTCACAAAAAATACAAATTCTTGGTTTTATTATAATTTCTGCTTTTGATTTTTTTTTTTTTTTCTTAAAATCGCTGGTCAAATCTGATCATGCTTATTGATTCATCACAAAATAAGCCGATATATTCTCATTTCGGTTGCTTCGCAATCAAATCAATTAATTATAAAAAAAAAAACCACGAGAAATTTAAGAATTAAAATTTAAAATATTCAGTGGTTATTAAAAAAAGAATTTGTTTAAATATAACTTTAATTCAAGTATAGAAAGATTCATTCTTTTATCAGTAGTTTATATTTTATTTTATTAAATTATAAAATTCGGAAAAATACTCTCAAAACCATACAACGTGACAATTTGCCTTTAGCTTCAAAGAAGGTGATACAACGCCTTAAAAATTAAACTACATAATATTATATTGACAGTTTGAGGAAGACTTGAATTAAAACGAACTCATTTGGAATTTGATACATTGAATCAAATTTTCAGATTACTGTTTGAAATTTGGTCTCTATTGCCAAATTGTGAATTTGTTTTATTATGAAGTTGGAAGATGGGTTCCAATTAAGCTTAGAGTGGTGACCTAGTGCAAATTTGGATTTTAATTGCCTTTTTATGAACTAGGTTGAAACATTTGATGTATAAAACTTAAAAAGAAATTAATGTGTGATAAATGAGAATGGAGAAAGTCCAATTAGCATCCTAATAATATTAGGTTCGTCTAATACATAAATTTAATTTTGTATATTCAATTATTATTTTTGAGATCTTTTAAATTTTACGGGGTTAATTATAATATTTCATTTTTACATTTCAGTAACAATTATATTTATTGTTTGCTGTATTGAATCATTACCTTGCACATTCATATTTTATTTTGACGAGACACAGTTGTTATTGAAATGCAAAAGTTTATGATCATAATAGATTTCTAGTAAAGTTTAAGGAGCTAAAAAGATAATCGCTGAGAGTAGAGTTATATTTATATATGAAGTGGAATTCGGTACTTAAACTTTGGAGAAAGTCCATTATCTTGATGGTGCTTATACATAAAAAACCAAACTAATTAATGATTTATTTTTTAAGTTTCTTTTATCAATGGAACCTGATAGTATAACATGTTCCTCAATTAAAGTTTAGTATATTAAACTCTTCTATGTGTATTAGTTATAACAAGTTTCTGAAAAAATAATAGTCGGGATAATTTTATGAAAGGTTTCTTTTATTGTCCTATTTGAAAATGAATCAATTCTTACTCAAAATATTAACTTCGTCTACCAATATTAAGAACATCTCCAAATAAAAAAATTCAATTTTCTATATTTTTATTTTATTTTCTTATTCCTATAGAAATATTATAATGTACTCAATTTATATTCACTGTAATTGAGATTTGTCAGAATTAATAGTTGTGTTTACCAAAAATATATTTGGTCTAATTCGAGTAATAAATAAAACTTTCATATTAGCGAGCTAAAATGGTTAAAATTCGCCTTATAAACCAATTATTAAATAGACATTTTAAATGTTTCAATACGACATGAAAATTGGGTCGGATCCAAATTGAAGTAATGCGTTTGTTATTACCTAACCTCCTAAAAGATCACATGATGGCCTTCCCCGCTAACTCCAAAGTCAAGATTAATTTTGTTTTTGTTTTGGACTTTTACCATTCAAAGAAGGCTTGTCTATATGCTATAGTCAGCAGCACTCCAAAAGAGTGCAATTGTGCCAACAATGACCACTCCTTTGAAATATCTCTTTCCTCAAGCAAAAGAAATTGAAAATTTGGCGGTGAAGTGCAATTTAGGTTACGGTCCACTTCAATTGGCGTTATATATATATTAAATCAAATATGATTTTTATTTTTTAATTCGTTGAAAGATAAAAAAATAAATAATATTGTAAACTATATAATCAAAGAAATTAAGTATGGATTTAAATATTTTATTTTTTGACCGTAATCTTATAAGCCATATTCTAAGTTCCTAACACAATTTTTTTTTTTTTTTCTAGTTCATATAACAAAGCTGTATTATGCAAAGTATGTGTTCCTTGTTTGTTTGTTATCAAGGGGATGGTCACGAGCTATTTAATTAGAATTTTTCAATCTGAAAAATAATTATTCCTTCATGAGATAAAAATATTTTGTTTGTATAATTTATTTATAAAATATTAAAATGTAATTCTAGATCAAAATAAAATACTATCGTATTAGAATAATATTACACTTCAGAAATACATAATATTTTCATTTAATTTTGAATAATTACATCGCATTGAAGAAATTTATAATATGAGCATAATTAAAAAAAAAAAAAAAACCCAAGGTGTTAGTTCCTTTTTTCTATTATTCTCAAGAATAAAGTGTTAATATTTTTCCAATCAATTACTAAGAAAATCAAATTAAAAAAATGAAGAGAGAGAGAGAGAGAGAGAGAGAGAGAGAGAGAGAGAGAGAGAGAGAGAGATCTCTTTCTCTCTAAGCTCAAAAGAAATTGAAAACTTTTGGCTTTTTTGGTGAAGTTTGCTAATTTAGGTTTACTGGTCCACCTTCAATTTGGTCATTGTTGATTATATATATTAAATCAAAATATGATTTTTATTTTTAATTCGTTGAAAGATAAAAAATAAAATAATATTGTAAAACTATTATATATCAAAGAAGATTAATAGTTATGTGATTTTAAATATTTTATTTTTTTGACTTTTTCGTATTTAATATCTTATAAGCTCCATATTCTAAGTCTTTTCCTTAACACCAATTTTTTTTTTTTTTTTCTTAGTTCATATAACCTCATAAAGCTTTTATTCATGTTCAAAGTTATGTGTTCCTGTTTGTTTGTTATCAAGGGATGGTCACGCGATGCTATTTTTAATTTAAATTTTTCAATCTGTGAAAAATATAATTTTCCTTCATGAGTATAAAAATATTTTGTTTGCTATAATTTAGGTTATAAATATATTTTAAAATGTTAATTCTAGATTCAAATAAATACTATTCGTATTAGGAAATTTATATTACACTTCAGACAATACATATTATTTTTCATTTTAATTTTTTGAATTTAATTTATCATCGCCTCATTGTGAAGAAATTTATAATGCATAAATGAGCATAATTAAAAAAAAAAAAAAAACCCAAGTGTGTTCAGTTCCTTTTTTCTATTTATTCTCAAGAATAAAGTGTTATTATGTTCCAATCAATTACTAAGAAAATCAAATTTAAAAAAATGAATAGTAGAGAGAGAGAGATGATGTAGATATTGATTAGAGATGAGAGATGAGAGAGAAGAGTGAAAATGCAATGATTTTAATCTAAATAAAAAGTGGTTTAGCCTGTCTGATTAAATTTTGCGGTGGCGAAATTTTTAGTACGGTGAGGATAAGTTAGTTGTTTGGGCCTCGAAGGTTTATAGTCTGCTAATATAAGAACTTCTTAGCCTGGACAGTCTTGTTGGATTCCTACTGGGGCTTTTTGTGCTATGTGAGAGAGAGAGAGAGAGAGAGAGAGAGAGAGAAATGGCAATGGATTTACAAATTAAAAGTTGGGTGTTAGCCTGTCTGATAAATTTGCGTGGCGAATTATAGTAGGTGAGATAAATTAGTTGTTGGGCCTCAAGGTTTAAGTCTGCAAAGAACTTCTAGGCCGGACAGTCTTGTTGACCTACTTGGGCTTTTGTGCTATGTGAGGCTCATTTCCAACAGATCAGCCATGTAGATACAAGCAATAGCCTCGGCCAGCACCTCAAAGCCCAAAGAAAAGAAAATGATAAAAAAAAAAAATCCATTTAAATATTTACTTCATAAAAAAAAAGGTAAATAAAAAAAAAAACCAACTATAAATAATTAGTCATGGATAAGACAAGCCAATAATAAAAAAAAAGTTTCAAAAAAAATGGTTACTGTTGTTTTTTTTTTTTTTTATAATAAATAGTCGGAAATAGGCTGATTAAAACCGAATGGATTCATAGACGAGATGTAGATAAATCATTCTCAATTATTCATTACTTATAACTTTTTTCGTTTCACTTGTTTAATGGTGTCATTTGCATATGGTGATTACGTAAAAATAAAGTTTTTGGATACTAAGATGAGTAAGACAGGTTTGGTCTGAATCACGACTTAGACATTGTTTCCAAGTATGATATACTAATAGAAAAGAATAAAAGAATAAGTGTAATTAAACTAAACTTCAACTATATTCTGATTAAGAGCTGTATATCTCCATTTCTCTTTTTCAACAAAGTCTGCATCCAAGAATCGAGAAACAAACATCCAAAGCCTATAAACATCTTCAAAATTTGTCAAGAATCCAATTGCAGCTGTAACTACAGAAATACTACTAGTTCCTGTTCTTGGCTCTACTGTCCAGTTCTTCTGTTCTTGATCATTCTTGTCTGGGAACCAAATATTGTTTAAATATCCGCAGCTTAAAGAAATGTTGTTTCTGTCAGCAAGTTTTTGCACAAGTTGAGGATCAATTCTCTCTCCTTTCCAATCAAATACGTTGAATGCTACTGCTGGTCCTCTGTCAAACTTTATTTTTGGCCCATAGATTCTGACTGGAGGATGTCCATTTTCTGAATTTGGATGATGAAGAGTCATCAATGCATTAACTAGCCAGTTTATGAGGTATCTTGCTCTGGCACTGATTAGTATCAGCCCTAATGAGTCTGCAAGATCCAAGCCCTTGTATTCTAGTTCTTGGTTCCCACTTTTTTCGCTTTCAATGATAGGTAGTGTAAATAATTCCTCTATTTCTGGTTCTTCTATGTCAGCAGCACTAGATAATTCTTCAGAAAGCTGAGTTGGTATTATAGCAGGGACAAGACTCACTATTCCAATGCTTGTATTGGTAGTAGCTGAATCCTTTAAAATTGAAATACTTGATTTTTTCACAAATAGGCACCCAAAACCAGATGGGTTTTCACCAAAAACCTTATAAAAAGAGCAAATTAGAAAATCTGGCTTGAAAAGTGAAAGTCCTAGAGTTTCCATGTCTTTAGGCCCTAATGCACAAGCATCAAGCAACACATTCCACCCATTTTCTTGAGCCATGCCCATCCAAAAATATGAATACCTATTACCAGTCATTCTTGATTGAAGGGGAAATACAAATAACCCTTTCTTTGTTTTCTTTTTACTTGCTATCTTCTTCTGTAATTTTCCTGACTGGATTCTAAGTGTAGGCCATAAAAATTCAGCTGACATAACTTGTGCTCCTTTCTTCTTTGAGCTTTCAATCATTAATTTCACTGCCTCACTTTCGTGGTCATAAACTGTTAGAAGATTTTTATGGGATTGGAATGGATAATAGTCTGCAAGAAGTTTAAATGCAGATGACTGATTTGCAGTGAATACCATAGTGTAATCATCTTCAGAGATATTCATAAAGGACATAATTCTTTTTCTGATCTTGTTTTCCAAGTCTGACTCTGGTCCTGAATATTGTAGTTGAGTGTTTAGGCTTACTGCCTTGTAGGAAATACCAAAAAATGGCTGTTCAAACTTCGGTGGCGGAGGAGGAGAAGTTGACGTTGAAGCCTGAGAATGACTCTGTTGCTGAGAGTAAGAGAACAGGCCATTTCCAAAATAATCAAGACAAACATGATTAGATAGTGTCAAATTGTAGTATTCTTTTTCTCGAATTTTGTCAGCTTGATTAGTCAAAGAATATTGTGGAAATGATTTAATGAAATTGGAGGAACAATCATATAACGAAGGTAAGGACTCATGATTAGTGAATTTAGAATTTGGCCATATGGAGGAAGTCATAGCAAGTTCAAAGTCGTAGCGAGAAGCAGCAACAGTAGTAGCTATGGAAGTCACAGTCTGTGGTTCAGGAAGGCCAAGAAAAGGTGTAGTACAGCAATAGCATCCATGAAAACAGACTTCTGAGGTTTCCTTGATGCAAGTTGAATACATTTTTCCACCTGTTCTGTCACTGCTTGGTTTATTATTTGAATGTTTTCTTCTATATGTCACTTATTTTCATTTCTCATACATGATTTAAAATAAACCTGCATTGAAGTTCTGGGGTCAGACATTGTTATATTTTTGGACAATATGATTCAAAGTATATTGCATTTCAGTCTAACTTAGCAATTATTATGTCTGGACCTACAAACAGAAGAAAATTGAATATGACTCAATCAGTTCTTAATAATTCATTAGGCTCTGTTTATATGCATGACAGTTCAAATACAAAGCTTAATGAAAACTGAATTTTCTCTCAAAAGACATACCATAATAACTAGTTAATGTACTCTTATTCTGTTAATTATAGATTATAATCTTTATTAATTTTTTGGCTGCTGTGATCAATTTATAGTTTCAATTTTTGGTTCTTAGTTTATTTATGTGATGATGGGTCTGATGGTTTTCACCAAACTAAAACTTCCTAGTTCCTGGTAAATTGGAAATTCCAAGATTTGTATAATCCAACATTGAATTCTTCAGTTTACTGATTTCAGTACTTAAATAAAAGAAAAGAAGTAAACAGATATGAATAATATCATAAAATGATCAAACATTACTAAGAAAGAGGAAATGAAGATCAAGCTTAGATGGTACCTGAGTTTATGGTCTTTAACTGTTTTCTGCTTTGTTAGTCGCTGCCCATACCATGAATTAGCTTTGATGTCTTGCAGGTTTTTTGTAATGAAAAGACAGAAACAAGAACCTGTTTAGAGATGGAAGAGTTGAGATGGGTTCGTCCAATCTCTACCAGCTGAGGGCCCTTCTTTATAGAGCATATCATATGATAGGCTTTCAATGAATTTTCAGGGTCTGACAAGTCTTTTTACTGTTATTTGCTTTCTTGTAAAATTGATTGTGAGCTTCTTTATTTTGCCTTCCCAAGTTCAATTTATAATTTTGCTATATATTATACATCGACAAATAGAACATCAAATCTCCGATTGAGGACTCTAATTTGAGATATCTCATTTCTTATATAAGTGAGAAAACCAATCAAACAAAAACCGATTCATATTTTTTATTAATAGCCTGCTTAGAATTCAAAAAGGTTGAGTTGCGTATGCTTCATGGCACGGGACCTTCGTGTTACTTTCTGATTAATATCCCTATCAAATAAGTTGTACAATTTCAACAGGCTGCAAAAGAATGGTAAACTGTAACCTTTAGATCAAGTGGCTGTGAAGCTTCTAAAAAAGCTAAAAGGACTTAACAATGAAATGCTTTGTCTTTCAGTTTGTGGAACCTGAAAACTTTTTGGAAATGCGTAAAACACAAACAGAAACGGGCAGAGAAATTTTTGTCGTGGCTGGCCCTGTCGAGGCAAACTAGAAATTTCTTTGAAAAATCCTTGCCTCCCAAATTGACATAATTTTTTATTATTAAGGAATAATGTAGAGTAACTATTCCAGCTTCTTTGTGTGGAATGTTCTTTTCAGCCTTCTGTAGAGGACCGTTACAAGGTTATATATATATATATATAACCTAAATATAAATAGATGTTTTTTACTGAAAAAAATATATTTGGCCCAACTTGAGTTTAATATAATTTTCATTATAACAGGATGAAATGATTACAATGTCTTCAACAAATTTATGGGAAATATAAATATATAGACATTTCAAACATTTCAAACCACTACAGTGAAATTTCCCGGGTCATACTTGAGTGTGACAGACCCAAATTAAGTCATTTAGCATACTATAGTCAAAATGTTTCTATTTATATTTCCAACCAATCAAGAAAATGGAATTTAATTTCTTTACGTCTTAGGGGCATCATGGCCCCTTTGAGACCTAAAGAAGCTCCATCTGGGACCCTCCCATCATGTGGTCATTTTGTCAATATATTTCAGTCTAAAAAGAAGAGTCTTTAGTTTGGAAGTGTAAGAAATCTTCTCCCCCGTTTTCCTCCATTCCCATTTAAATTTCAAAATTCACTTTTGCTTTGTTAGAGTCAGATTATAAAAGAATTTTTTTTTTTTTCTCTTTTACAAACTTTATAGTTACATCTATGAATTAAGCAAATGAATTTCATATCACATGCAAAAAAATTATAAAGAATGAGATCTCCTTTTAATATTTTGAATTTATGAAAAAAAAAAATGAATTGCAAATAAAAGAAGAGCTTGTTCAATCATAGAATCAAAGCACAAATAATAAAGAACAGAAGACACATTTATATTGAAAGAAGTATACATAAAGAATTAGATAATATAAAAAATCAGACAGGTATAGTACTAAAAGCTTTAGGATTATAGAAAAAAAAAAACATATATAACATAACAAAAAAGGAAAAATACAAATATTAGGCTTATAGGAAAACATAAAGAAGCACGAGATATAAATTGAAAAAAAAGCATAAACTAAAAAATTCAGATATATGTAACACAAAAAAAAGAAAAGAAAAATACAATTAATTGTTGAGAGTGGGATTTGAACCCACGCCCTTTCGGACCAGAACCTTAATCTGGCGCCTTAGACCAACTCGGCCATCTCAACTGTTTGATTCATAACTTGAACGTTATTTACATAAAACCGTGGTTCTTCTTTTTGCAAACGATGCTTGGTTTCCTTGTTACATTGTAGATATATTTTCAACCATGGGCTTCGTCCGCTTGGACATACATTAAAGAATGGTCCAAATTCAATGGGTTAGGTTGTATGTATTTATGATGCTAGTAGAAATAGTTGGGATTTTCTTTTTTCATTCTAAAATAATAATAATAAAATCAGTCAGTTTTGTTTAAGCAATTCAAATAATTTTTGGATTAAATTATGCTAGGAATTCAAACTTTAACTAAAAGCTAATTTGAATGATTTCATCATTTAAATAGAATATTGTATTAAGATAATTAATTAAGCACATTCACCCCCAATTGTAGCCATTCTCTTTTTGCTCCTAATTTGGTCATCAAAAAGCCGAGTGCATGTCTATATATTTCTAACAAAACACAAAGAAATAGAACTCAATTATATATATACACACACACTTTGCATATTGATCGAGCTTACCTTTTGGCATGAGTGAATGGAAGCTCTTGAGGTTTACATTAATTAAGTTGAAGAAGTTAGAGGGCAACTCTCCTTTGGCGAATCATCAAACAATACAGAGCGAACTAGTTAATTATATGATCTATAATATATGATGATACGTGCCAGAGGAGAGAAGCCCTATAACTATTTCACTTACGAGTCTTCAAGATTTCTCTTTAACTATTATCGTATCTTCTTGTTCTGGTTTGCAGGTTGCACATGCACAAGCAGTGCACAGTTCTGAACTTTATAAATATGTCCAAGAAATAGAATATGCTATATGGATATCCCCTTTTAGTGCCTGCTTATATTCTACTTACCATGATTTCGACCCAAGGCCTTTCTCTCTTTCTCTCTTTATCGCTATTGCTATCCATGTTTTGGAGAAGAGGAAAAGCAGAGATGAAGAAGAAGATGCTTTCTTTTCTTGCTTAAGCTAAGGTGGCAGAAGGAGAGGTATATCCTATGTCATATTCTCTCATTCTTATTTGCTTTATGATTTTTTTTTTTTCCTTTCCTTATCCTTTTTTTGTTGAGGGTTTCTTGAAATTTGAAAACCCTAATTTGTTGAGATTTTTTTCTTGTATCCAATTAGAATTGTTTATTTATTTTGTAGTCCGAGTACTTTTAGGACATCAACATTCTTACTTCTTATTACCTTAAATTTGTAATCTATAGTTCACAGTTTAATGACACTATAAAATCAAAATGCTTATTGATATTTTACTGGTTTTTTAAAGCTCGAAGATTTTGCAATCACGTTTCAAAATTTTACAATTGACCACTAATAATGAAAATATTTAATATTTCTACCTATTACTATTTGGTCCTCCAATCATTAAAAGCTATACTAAGTAAAGTGGCTAATAAATAAATTAACTACTAGCCGGTCAACAATTTGTTGAACTAACTAATACCTTAAATTAAATTAAATAGATAAAATAGTGTGAAAACACAAAGATATATGTATATCAGAATAATTATTGACAAGAAATTATCTCAATTTTCTTGTGGATTGACTTCTTTGTACGTAATTAACAAAAACTGTTTCAACGGTTTAGCTAATTAAGATAAACTAATTTGATGCTTCATTACTTGGCAACCTCTCACTTAGTATCTTAACTCCCATATACCTGCAAAAAAAAAAAAAAAAAAAAAAAAAAGTTTCATTCATCAAATGAATAGTCAGTATAGATTATTAAAATGAAGAATTGTAAATTCAATTTTTTTAAAAATTCAATTAATTACCTGCCAAGCATCATAACAGTGGGCTTGAGGATTGGCTCCCAGGAGAGGCATTAAATGTGGATCCTCTCTGACTCTTAGGGCATCCACCCAATAACCCTTGTAATTAGTGTCACACACTACCTACTTGGCAACGCTCCATGATAATGCCATATCGCGTCATTACAGTAGTCCTTAACAGAATTGTCTCTAAGGACATTGAAGATTAATAGTGTTTAGGTAATAAATTTACTGGGAAAATTTGCTGTCAATTTAGAGTTGAGGACTGAACATATTTTCTAAAACTTATGCGGAATGGTTGGGAATCAATTAACTTTCTCTATTGTTGAAATTTCCCTCATACATCTCTGCAAGTTCTTTGAGGTTCTTTAAAATATGTTGTAATGTGACTGATGGATTATCTTAGGGTTTCTTGTTATTAGCTCCAAATGACCAGTTTGAAATTGGGACCCCATTATTTTTTTCTAAAGGAATGAGCCTCTCTAAAAGCTGCTTGATCAAGATTACTCATTAGCTCAATTGCCTTTAGGCTAAAAAAAAAAAAAAAAAAAAAAAAAGTTCATTCATCAAATGAATAAGCATTATAGATTATTAAAATGAGAATTGTAAATCATTTTTTAAAATTCAATTAATTACCTGCCAAGCATCATAACAGTGGCTTGAGGATTGGTCCCAGGAGAGGCATTAAATGTGGATCCATCTATGACTCTTAGGGCATCCACACCAATAACCTTGTAATTAGTGTCCACAACACTACCTACTTGGCAACCTCCATGATAATGCCATATCGTCATTACAGTATCCTTACAGAATTGTTCTAAGGACATTGAAGTATTATAGTGTTTAGGTAATAAATTTACTGGGAAATTTGCTGTCAAATTTAGGAGTTGAGGAACTGACATATTTCTAAACTTAGCGAATGGTTGGGAATCAATTACTTTCTCTATTGTTGAAATTCCCTCCATACATCTCTGCAAGTCTTGAGGTTCTTTAAAATAGTTGAATGTGACTGATGGATTATCATTAGGGTTTCTTGTTATTAGCTCCAAATGACCAGTTGAAATTGGACCCATTATTTTTTCAAGAATGAAGCCTCCTCTAAAAGCTGCTTGATCAAGATTACTCATTAGCTCAATTGCTTTAGCTATGGCTTCTGGGGTCCTTTGTTTTGGTGGCACTGTTGAAAGCTGACCAATCTGCACTCCCCAAAGAATTGTTACTTAGGTGCAAACTAGGGATTTTTTGGCTAAAAAAGATCAACCAAATATATATTATGGGTTTTGTAGTTTCAGCCTAATAAGAAAATTTAGCAGTTGGATAATTTTTACCTTAGGAGAGAACATTCCATAATCTCTCTGGGGTGAACCGCCGAAGTTTGCACCACTTGCAGCTTCAATGTAGCTCCCAAAGTGAGTGATTCCGGCCACTTGAATCAGCGAAACCTCCACCGGAATCGGCGAGGGGATAAAAACAGCGTTCATGGGATTATCGGACATGAGTTGTCCAACCATGGGTTGGTCCAAAACAACTGAAATATTACGGGACATAAGTTGAGTTCTAGGGCCCACTCCACTCAGCATCAAAAGTTGCGGGCTTCCTAGTGCTCCGGCTGATATGATAATTTCATTTTTAGACCCTCTTTTTAAATAAGCTTTGTGTTTAGCCCCTGAAGCATCTCTATACACCACTCCATGGGCTAATGGCCTCGTTTTCCCTGCCCAAATTACAAATTAATGTTTGATTTTCAGAAATCTATTTTATTTTATTGTTTTAAATACAAGCAAAAAAAAAAAAAAAAACTCACCTTTAGTTCTAAACAAAATTTTATGTACTGTCGCATGTAAAAGGACAGTAAGTCCATTTGGATTGGCATATTCTAATAAATCAGCAGCAGAATGCCTATGCCCATTTTGATCAAATATGGTTCCTCCAACTTTAGTCCCATAAATATGGTCATAAGTAAACCCATTATTAGGCACCACACCAGCCTCCAGCAACCCATCCCTCACAGCCGATTGCCACTGCCCTATCCGTGGCTCGAACGCAACTTCTTTCTCCACCCACTGGTATGACTCGTTCACTAACCGTCCATCCCACCCCACATTTCTGTTATAAGTGATGGAACCAGAATTAAAATTAAGAAAGCTAAAAAATAATTTCAAGAATTAAAAAGGATGAAATTGAAAAAAATTTACGATAAAAAAAATGTTAAAATTTTATACGATAATTTTTGTTTTAAAAAAATTAGTTAGGAGTGTGGAGCCACCCCTGGCTCCGTCAGTGCCTGCCATGATAAATTAAAATCAGTCGAGTAAAATGTTATAATTTGATAAAATACAGGAGGACCTTTTTGTAATTTACCAGTCAAACTCATATACCTTACGTATTGAGTGCTAGCGCGTGAATAGAAACCAGCGTTTAGGCAACTCCCGCCACCCAACACCCGCGCGCGAGCATTGATGACGCCATCTTCGGAGATAAATCTTTGAGACGGTGATGTAGGAGACAGATCAGATAATGCAGCACCGAAACTCGCCAAATTGGTGATGTTAGGGTTGCCATAAGGCGAGCCGCCTCGTTCAAGGAGCAAAACGTGGGCGTTTTGGGATAGAGTGGCAGCAAATGGGCAGCCAGCGGTTCCGCCACCAACAATAATGTAGTCATAGTACGATGTCGCAGGAGCCGAAACCGCATTGTAAATGAAATCGAAGTCTGGAATTTAACGGAGAAAGTTAAAAATGGAGTTGGTGGTAGATAACGCTTGGCCAAAATCAGTAATTAATATAATAATTATGCCAATGTTTTTAGTTGGATGATTTAATTATGTTAATTTCTTATCTCTCCTATCCTCCTAATTAAAGGCTATTTATATGTGAAATGACCTATGCGCATGTAGAGGACAACCCAATTGGTAAGGCAATGAACCTTTTTGATTTAAGACTTATAATAATTAGTAGTAATTACTTAAATTTCATATTAATTCTAAATAAAAAATAAGAGTAATTTGCATGCTCTTAGAGTAAAAATTAATTTATCATCAAGTGCATGAAATTTATCATCAAGTGTAATTATCTTAAGCAACACTTATAGTGGGAGAAAAGATAATATTTTATTTTTTCAAAACTTTGATTCATCTAGTTCATAATTTCTTTCACAAATTAAAATTTGTCAAACTCGTAAATAAGTCTATAATTAAGCAGTAAAAAAGATAAAATTGCAAACAATACATATATATTATTATACACGTATATGTATTTTATAACAAGAATGATGAGTCAAAAGAAGAAGAAGATGATACCTTTATGATAGGAGGCAGAGAAACCATAACCAGAAAAGAGAAAAGCAAGAAACAGAGCACCAAAGAATCTCCAAAAGAAAGCCATTTTTTGAAATAACAAAGAGCAATTTGGTATGGGTCTTTGGTGTACAAAACAAGAGCAACAGATCTTTGTTTATATAAATTGATGGGAGTGGGAAGGCAACAATCTCGACGGCTACAAGTTATGTGGGTGCAAAGATATCTTGCTCATTTTGTCGGCGACAAAAAAGTGTTACTAAATGTGACAATGATTAAGCTTATGCAAACCAGAAATTCAAGAATGAAGAAAATGCATTTTGTGCCTCCATATACTAGAAAAAAAAAAGAAATACTTTGGTCATCCAGCAGGTTTATTTGGTTTATTTATATACGAAAAAAATGAAATGAAAACCCAAATTACGATTTTTAATTAAAAAAAAAAAAAACAGAAAAAGAAATTGAAGAAATTGTCTTTACACCGCAAAAAAAGATATCTGAGGCTAACTTCTAGCAGCTTTAATTAATTGGCTTTGAATTTCTTGCCAACCAAATTAATATTTTTGAACCCGTGAGATGATTGAGAGTAGGAAGTAGTTAGATATTATCCTCAAATTAATGCTTCCAAGTCCCAAACGCAAAATTGTCCTTCAGTCTTCTTCTTCTTCTTCTTTTTTTTTTTTTTGGAGAATTACGAAGTGTCATTCCACAAAGCCAAACAGCCTCCCTCAATGTTGTTGCAGAAACACACAAGTTTTGATTGTTTCTCAACTGAAACTGTACAGTTTTGGTTTATTTATTTTTCATTTATCCATTTATGATTGCTTCGCCCATAATAAAGAGTTGTACTGTGCATAATTTAATGGGTACCATCCTTTTCGGTGATTAAAGAGAGGCATAATGTATGGTACTTTACTTGTTTGCATATGCCAAGTTATTATGATTTCAAGATTTTTGTATTGTTTCCGTATCCAATTTGAGGTGATATTAGTATATTTCTATTAATTTATATTAAAGCTGCTAGCTAATACTAATTTATTTGTGCATAAGAATGATAATAAATAATATTAAGCAAAACGTTCGAGATTGTGCCAAAAATAAAAAGTCTACTGAAATACTCCAAATTTTGAAAGTTTTAAATTTCACTCTACTTTTGATGTTTATGTCAAGTTACCGCAATTTCATTACAATTAAAAATGAAATTGTAAATAGAAAATATATTTGTTCTTTCTTTAAAAAATTAATAATAATAATTAAATTATATTTACATCTATAGATTTAGAAATATCATATTTGAGACAATTGCAATTAAATTAAAATAATTAAAATTTATTATTCATTTTTATTAAATGAATAGTAATTTGACTATAATATCAATTTAAAAGATTACTATTATTAATATTTTTGTCCTTAAAATATAGATAATATAAATAAAGTACATAATTAATAGGTAAATTTTATCAAGTTGATTGTTACGCCATACTCTTGGATGTTTTTATGGTAAATTATAAAATTTTATATTATTTAAATTATTAATTAACAGGTTTATTTTTAAAAAAAATTAAAATTTAGTTTGTGCGCAACATTATTTATTTATACTAATGAATTTTTTCAATTTTTATTTTTAAAATTTTTATCAAAGGCATATGATGATTTAAAAATGATAAAAAAACTTTCTATTTATAATTTCATTTTTAATTGCAATTGAAGATGCTATCTATAAAAAGTCAAAATTGGAATAAATTTGATAAAAAGATTAAAATATAGTGAAAATGCTAAAACCTGTGAAATTTAGAATATTCTGATATATCAACGCAAATGAAAATAAACAACATGAGAATTACATTTACTCCAAAGCAACAAGTCTGCAGCCTCAAATTAAAGTGGAGCTTGCATGATACAAATGAAAAATAATATGTACAGCGAAGTCGGGATTCAATGAGAAAATAGAAAAAAAAAAATTTAAATGGAAGAACAGTCATAAATCCTAAAACGAGATCAGTCTCATGAACAAAAAAAAGATGGAAATATTGGTTTAAAAATCCCCTCAAAAAATATAAAATAATATATAAGTGTATCATTTTTCTGAGGGAATAATTTAGATATGAAATTCCAAAAAATTGAGTTTATTAAATTCCAATTGAATTGTAGAATCAATGAGCTAGTTTGTCTATAATATGGAACAGTTACACATGAAATACAAATATGAACAGAAACAAATAGGAATCAAAGTAACAAAAATTGAAAAATTAGAACTTACCAGTCAAACAACTAATTTGTACAACTTACAAACTAATAGAGCGAGTTGTAGGTACAGCAGGTAGCAACAATGGAGACTACAGAAATGAGGAGAGAAGGAAGAAGGGTGACATTCAACAGCTTACTCTCACCCAAGTACCCAGCCAGGGTAATTGTGCCATCTGCGATCACACGTGCTATCGTCCCAGCTTCAGTTGAGAGTAGTCCTCCATTGTAGGTTCCACGAGAGAGCCTGGATGACATGACTCGAGACAGCAGTGACAAGTTAACACCTGTAATAGAAAAGTTGTTGCTGGTCAAGAAGATTTATTATCATACCAGAACCTGCAAAACTCATATTAATGGGATAATTTCTCACCTTCAAGCACTTCGGCAGAAACAAACATGATTAATCCTGAGCAGACATATTGTGGAACAGTGTATGGATTTATGATTTTGAAGCTTAGCAGTATTCCTAAGCAAACCACGATTTCTGATGCCAATAAAATTTGCCTGCATTGAATCAGTAAGGAAGAGCTGCATCAGTAGGATCTAATAAAAAATTTCAGAGATTTATATCAGAAACACAAGTATAATAAAATGATATACAAAAAGCAGAGCCAAAAGCATGCTTCCTGCATGAAGATTTACCTGTCTTCGAACATGTTACTAATGTAGCTTCCAACAATAATATTTACTGGAAGAACTGTTAGCCCTAGACACGCAAGGAAAATAGCCACCGAGCTTGTTGACCAACCGAAGTAGTATGAGGTAACAACACTGGATTCTGAGAGTAAAATCTCCATTGCGTATTTCAGCATGAAATATATCAACAACTGAACCTGATGACACAAAAAAGGGTATTTGGATGGATAATCATGTACTCATCATATTAATGTATTAAACCTAGCTCTGTAACTCTGATGTTAAGCAGGTAAAATCAGAGGAAATAGAACTTCTCAGTAAGTTTCCAACAGTGTCTACTCTTCCTATCTGAACCTAAGATGTCAGGCATAATCTTGACTTATTAATCAAGGCATTATAAAAGTGAAATTCCATTCACAATCCACAGAATAAAATATATATGTGCACAAATATCAGTACAAAGTACTATACCATCTCCTTAAGAAAGCCTCTTGGTGCAGCAAGCTGCACATACCATGTCTTTAAAAGACGCCCAAAAAGATGAATTCCTAGAACTGTAGCAGTTTGTCTATTAAGCCAATCAGCCACCTGAACTATCACAATTCTAGTACTGCCAGTGTAGAATAACGCAACCTTTCTGTTTGCTCCCAGCAACTAATTTCCAAAGCAACAGCTTTGATTTGTTTTTACACATAGTGCTGCTGTGAGAATTTTGAGGGCTGGATATTGCATGTTAGAGTTTACATTGCATAGAGTAATTCATTGGTAGGAAACCCAAGAATAAGGCTAGTAGGTTAAAAGCAAGTTTAGACACAAGTTATATGTGGCTTGAACTGACATGGAGTTCTTCATTATTAAGAAACTTTGTGAATATTTAAATTGTGCACGTGACTGTGAGAGATATTGTCTTTGTAGAGCGAATTGACAGTTGAATTTCTATGTGTGAAATCAACACCTATGCCTATGTGATACGAGGGCTCTCCAAAATCCCATTCCTTAGTAATGCTGACTAGATTGAATATTTTCACATACCTTTACAGAGGGTGTAAGCAGCCTGTATGCTGAAACAATTGAAGTGGCAGGTCGCCGAGATTCCTCAGGAGCTTCATCACTGCCATCGCATTCTCCTTCACCATTTTCATCTTCTTGTTTGCTTTCTGAACTCAACAGTAATGGTTGTTTAAGACCCTTCTCAAGCACATCATTTTCCCTCAGTCCTGCCATTATGAGACCTATTGGTCAAAATGTTTTTATAATGCTGAAGGAAATGACTTATGCAGGTAAAAAAGCAGCATTAACAATAGTGTGCTTCGGAAAATCCAGCCATATGATCATCTACAACTAAAGCTCTTTAAGCTTACCTTCTGGCTAAAGTTTAACAACTTTGGGATCTTTGGTCCAGCATTTCAATGGTGTAATGATCATGTAAGATGAAGCGTTTAATAGATATAGTTTTATAAGCTGAAATTTTTAACAGATTAAAGTAAAAGTTGAAGGTAGATGCCATAAGATTTTTGACAAATGGTATATGAATGAATCTATGCATTCAGCCTAGAATTCATTGAGGGAAGTTTCCTCCTTATTGAACTCTTAAAAACAGCATAAAATGGGGTTCTAAAGGGTGAAAAATGCATATCACTCCTAGAATAACTCCTAAATGAGTTAAAGGCTGCTGTTGAGATGTCCAAACCATAAACTTATTTCTAACCTAATTGAATAAGAGAAACCATTGTCAAAATTTTATATGCTTTTATCATAAATTGAACATCAGTTAACCTTGTATGATTTCCTAAGTCTAAAGCTCCAGGAATTCATTAAAAAAACTATTAACCTTTTTCTGTATATGTAACATACAAAAGACAAATCGGAAAAGAAATGGTACTGCAAAGGTAGTGATGTTATGGTCAAAAGCAAGCAGTTTTTATTCATTCTAATAAATAGTCAAACATAAGAACCACTAAAATTATGGATTAAAGTGAAATCTTATGGACTATGTGCAGAACCAGGACAAAGAAATAGTAAGAGAAGTCAGCATACCAGCATTAGATTCCTGTACTACATTGCTTTCTTCACTGAAATGAGAAGGTTCTTTAAATGTGAACCACAAAAATACGAGATATATAAGCCAACCCACAGCCATAACCCAACCTGGCAAAGTGACTTGGTTGAATGTAAACTTGTAAATTTTGAAATTAGTTTGAAGCAAGCCAGCAAGAGCAGGACCACATGCCATTCCAAGAGCACTGGCACTGACGAAACCTGCTGATGCCTGCATACGAATTCGAAGAGGCACACAATCACTGATATAACGCCGGTTAACAGCTCTAGCAGAACCAAACCTGCATTGAATAAAGTATAATAGTTTTAGCATGTATGATGAGTTATAAATAGTGAATTCTCTATGAGTTTGATATAAGGCAAGTAAGACAAGTTCCAAGTTTGTGTACAACTGCGGTTTGGTTCAAGGACTATCTTATTCAGTATGCAATTACTTTCCTTTCATGATCCGTTGAGTCCATTTTAAATTCCCAATAACTCAAATTTGCTTATAATATGATTGGGAAGATATAACATTCCATCTGAATAAAAAATTAACTAAAACACAAACTTTAAACTATTCTCATCATGCTAATAGACATGAAGATACGAAGAGAAAGGAAAGTGCTTACCCACATAAGAGACGCCCAATTAAAAGAAGTGCTATTGACTGATAATCTAACGCCATTGCATACATGAGATTTCCCACAAGAAGAACAATACTGCTAAACACTAGAGGTTTGAAATATGATTTGTTAGACCAAGCACTAAAATACACTGAGGAAAACACTTGAGCGACGGCCATTGCCCCAATCACAATACCACAAACTGTTGCTGCAGCACCAAGCATTGTGGAATAGTCATCTGCTGTAGGGACAATTATATATGTGTTGACCATATAAAGGAAAGTGTTCACTAAGTTCAAAAGAAGTGACATAAAATGATATCTTTCATCATCAGCACGTTCCTCAGCAGGAGTAGGTAGCTCTTCATGCATAATGAGTGCATGTTGTGCCAGAAAGTTAAGGAAATTTGTTGAGTTAGATAGTCTGTCTACAGCTGCTTTTAATGAATCAACGACAGGATCCTGCAGGATAAAAACATGAAACACCATGCATTATCAACTGCAACAGGGTTCCAGGAAACTTCAAGAAAGAAAGGAAGTGGAGCCAAATTGTATGTAAAGTGAAATAACAGAGACCTGGAAGGGAAGAACTGGCTGATCATAGATGGATAAGTAGCTACCCTGGTGTTCCTGAAGTTCATGAAGATTGCGAGATATGGCTCCAATAACAGCTCCTAAACCCTGCAATTTCATATATTATTCATTAAAAATTCATAATCATGTAGACTACATATCTATCAAGAATAAGAATGACATATTACCACATGCTTGAACACTTGCTGCAAAAGGGAGTAAGGATGATTAGCACGAGTTTTGACATAGTAATCGGTGAATCTATATCCAAGGCGTTTATCAAACTTCTTCAATATCTTACGTAGACCGATTGCATTTATCTCAACAAAAAAGAGTAGCTTTAACAAATCATGCCCCACTGCTCTATAGTCTTCTCGTAATTGGGTTATTAGGGCTATATCTGGCTGTTGCTCAAGAGCCTCCTGCCGTTCATTGAGTTTGGCAAGCCTACTTGCAAGCAACCCTTGTTGTTCCAACAGAAAAAGAACAATCTTCTCGATCTGAATTATTATCACATAAAATAATTTAATATGCTATGTTTAAACTCAAATTAATTATTGAAATTGGATTACTTTATGAAAATAGACAAAGTATCTTCATTTGCCTAAAAGTTTGGACTGATATACAATTGAGAAATAATGGTCATATTCAAGTGTGATCACCCATGTAAAAAGCAATTATCAATATGCATACATGTCATTCCAACTGCATACCAATGTTGTCCCACTTTTCGATATTTTTCTGCAAGAAAATAGTCAACCCCTCCTTATATCAGCATCCATTTTATTCCTTGTCAAAGGGGTCTAGGAACTCTTCCTACCAGTTTAATGCTTTGAAAGCTCTACCATGGCATTTCAAAAACATAATTTAGGATCATGTTCCAGGAAGGCAGGAATATTTACATCAACAAAACGCTCCAATTACTTAACCAATAAATCAATACTTGAATAATTTCAACAGATAAACAAATGTAATGGCAAGCACAATGCCTGTCGAAAAACCAACTCCAGAGAAAGCATCTACAAGTAAAAACCTATTAAGGTTATTAAAATTGGAAATTCTTGGTCAAAATTAATGCAAAATCAGTCTGACATTCAATGACTAATTTGTTAGATGACTGCAAGTATTGAAGCATGCAAATGCTTGTACATGCATAATGCAATGTTATCAAGTTTTATCCATGAAGAAATATGCCCAACTTCATAAATGTGCACAAACATGCATGCAAGCACACACAGATAGAGTGAAAACAAACCTGATTATCTAGCATCTTTGAGAAATCCTTGAGGACATGCCTGCGATCTTGTGTTCCAACTTCAATTTGTTGAGCGTATTGTCTCACTTTCTTCTTCATTAGCTTATAATTAATATAATATCTGAAACAAAACATAAAATATCTCAAGGGAGCATAAAGAGAATATTTTTCAAGTATATACCACAGTGCAATAGTTGGACTTGAAACAATTATCCCAACTTCTCTTCCCTTGGAATCTATCTATTTCTGACATCCATATGTACCTATGCATGTTTATTTTCAATGAATCCAAACTTTTTATTTAGTCCCAATGTTGAAGAAAACCGTGTTCGATGATAAATCTACCAGAAGTCATTTAGCCACCTCCGAAGATTACCAATCCAACAATGAAATATTTAAGAAAAGCAATGAGGTAAAACTATTAAATACAGGAGTCTTGTCCCCAAATAATGCACCAAGGTTTGAATTTCACAATGTAAAAAAAAGAAAAGGTTCCCCTCCCTGATACTCAAATATGATGCATGTCAAAGAGTGTTTTTCTCTCACAATGCCAGTACTCATTAAAACTTTGTTTAAAGTAGGAAGTGCTTGCTAGAATGTACATTGATATTTGACACATACCCTTCCCATTCTTGAATTTGTCGTTCCTTCAACTTTTTCCCAAAGGCAACCATCTTTCACTACAATAAGAAAGCATTATAAGAAACTTACAAGAGAGCAGGAAAACCAACAAAAAGCATAATCACCATAACTCCAGTTAAGCAAAAGATACCACTATTTGTTTTAATGTTAAAAATTAAAAAGAGAAAAAAAAGAACGCTGTACATTGTTCACCATGAAATCCAAAAAAGAGCTACTGCTCTCTCTTTAAGCCTTACAGGAAGCATAATCGATAAAGATGACATTTAAAACTATGACTAACTTTACCATATTAGAGCACAAAACCATAAACAAGCCAAAAACAAAACCATAGCAACTATAACTGACAAACTTCTTCTGCTTGTTTAATTATAGATATTAAGCAAACATTTTCTTTATGCAGGTAAATTGCAAACAAGAATCAGTGCATGTATAGATGCATGTACTGCTCTCTCTTTGAGCCTTAAAGTGCACTTCAGAGGAAAACATAACAGATACAGGTGACATTTAAAACTACAGCTAATTTTATCATATTAGTCCACAAAGCCATACACAAGCCAAAAACAAATAATAGTAACTATAACTGACAACTTCTTCTGCTGGTTTAATTATAAATATTAAGCAAACATTTTTTTCATGCAGGTAAAATTGCAAACAAGGACCAATGCATGTATAGAGTGCAAAAAAAATGAAAAAGGAGTATACAAACTATTTAAGACACAAACAACATGGTGAAGGCTATGGAATTTGTATCAGACTTGACCAAGCTGAGACATATTCCCAGAAGGCAAATATGACAACCTACTTTATTACTAGAATCTGTAAATAAAAATATTCAGCTGTTGATGGTTTAACTTGATAGATATCTTTGTTTTGGACAAGCTATAAGATGAAGAGTTCAATTCCACAAAAATAAATACTAGAAGATAAAATGCAATATTACAATTTGAATAATTCCTTTTCGCTCAGTATATAAATATTCCACCACCTAGAGATTCGGACAGAAATCCACACCCCCACAAATATTACCTGGCCCAGATAAAAAGCATTTAAGATCAACTGTCCAAGAATGAATGCTTTTATTGATAGCTTTAAGAAAAAGTCACGTTTCAACAACCAGAAAGGTAAAAATAGAAGTATATACAAAGACACAGACGCGCACAAGGTCAATGTATGTTCAAACATATTTACAGGCACACAGATACAGTTGGAAATATCACATTTTCTCATCCCCCAATCCCAACTGATATTATCAGTCACTTTTCACATTTAGTTAAAATTAGAACAACTATACTCAAGCCACAACTTCCTAAACTGCTACTACTGCTGCATCGCCATTTGGATTGGGAATATTCAGCAGGAAGAGAGAAACCAGAAAACTGAAGTTCATTTCCAAATGTGCTGGTCAGAGAATTGCATAATTTCCTTCCAATTACTTTCACCAAACGTTTCACTTACAGAATGTCAATTAGGGATGTAGGCCAGGCCTAAGACTTTTGTATAAAACTCTCATATAATCATACGCAACCGTGCTTATCATTTCATTATAAAGCCACCAAATTAGACCAAGTCAATCCATTTTCAGGCATTAGCATACAACTCCGTTAGCCTCTACCATCCTGAAACTTCAGGAAATAAAATAAAGTACTGAATCATAAAGAATTGACAATCTACCAGTAGGAATTAACATGAGCTATGCTAAATAATAAAGAATGTTAATCGCGATACTAACATTCTCGCCCTTCTAGGAAATGCACACAAAAAAATAAAATAGCACGGCCGTTTATGAGCTATACTGTACTCTGTTTGGCTGCGCAGAGAAAGAGAAACAGACTCGAAAATCGAAATTCATTCACCTTTGGAAACTGAACTTTATCTGCGCAGCTCATAAAAGATAATTTTCCAACTTCGTACTCTCATTTTCTTTTTCTTTTCTAAGATTCCTCAGCAACCAAATAGTGGTTTACAATTTATACCAGCAAACAATGTTCTGTTTGGTTGCGGAGAAAACTACAGAAGGAAAGAAACAAACTCAAAAAAAAACAAAAAACAAAAGGAGCTAATACAACTTCAGCAAGCAACGACACTACGTAATTAAGCAAGCGACAATACTCCACCTTCACGTTTCTTCTTTATTTTTCAGCAACCAAACCAGAGAATAGATTCAAAACAAAAACAAAACTAAAATAGAAAAAGCATTACCAGATTGAAATTCTCAAACCGTAACGAGCTTAGATGACCATCAACAAGTACCTCTACAACACAGAAGGATTCATTTATTTAAACAAAATATTAATAATTAATAAGAATATTAAGAAGAAGAACAGAGAGAAGAAATTACGAAAAGCAAAAAAGATTTACCTTAACATGTAAATGGTGAGAAAGCTTGAAAAGAAGTCTCTTGCGTCGCAGAGAAAAACGGATCTTTATATTCCAAATTTCCAATGATTTGGATTATTCCGGGACTGAATGGGAATTGTTGAAAATGAAGGTTGGCAATGGAGGAAAAGTGGAATCCAATCCGAGTTGGAGTGCTTAATTAGAGGTTGCAGATATCTTGGAGTGTTAATTGAGAGGTCCAAAATCGAAATCTCTAAGCAGATTCAAATCTCTAATTATATTTCTTTATTCATACGTAAAATCCATAAATCATGGTTCGAGTGAGAGGATGAAACTTACACGATTACGGTTCTGTTTGCCGTATTGTACCTGGCTGACCCGGACTGCTTGCTAGCTCTCGTGTCAGCTCAGTTTGGCCTTTATGGTGCGACTATCGAAATATGTTGGAGGGTCCCGAGAATTTTATGAAAATTAGGTACTTAATTTTTTTAATATTTATTTTTATGAGATAATGAAATCTAAATAAAATAGTTAAAAATATTAAATTTGTCCTTAAGTTATGGTCAAATTAGTATATGGCATATCTATTTTTAATTATAATTATGAATTTCTTGAATTATAATTTTATTAATAATTTAATCTTTTCATTCAAAAAAAGAGGGACCAAAATGTTAGCAAAACTCACAAGGGTAAGGACTAAAGTGTTACCGACAATTATAAATTAAAGACATTTTTATTAGTTTAACCATAATTTAGAGACCAGTTTATTAGAGAACTACTCATTGAAATAGGTTATTTCGAATGAAAGACAGAAGCTATAAGTTAAAGAACTTATAGTTAGCTTTTGAAAATAGAGGTACTCATGTATTAATTTAACCATAACTCAATGACTAACTTATTATTTTTCATAAAATAGTATTCAAAAATATTTTAATTTCTATCAACTGTCGGTTATTAATCAAAAAACTTATCAAACATTTACAAATTAGCTTATTATTGATATAAATCAACTATAGCTACTACATGAATTAGTTGGATCAAACGTTTTGATGTTTGGCGAAACTGTAATATTAATTGTTTTATTAGTTGTTATTTGTTTTAATAAGTTATTTTATTCTATTAACTTTGTTGGTAGCTGTTAATGAAGTGGCCGATAAAAATATTTGAATTTGCGTCCGATAAGAACGAAAACTTTTCTAAAATAAAATAAAATTTATGATCAAAATGTAGTAGCACTGCACAATAAAGAATAACATAGTGACAACATGTATATACATAGTTTAACAATAAATCTAGATTCAGATTTCCGCCCAATATACATATATGTATATTTAATTTGCATGAGCACTTTCAAGTATGTTCAGTTTATTTTGTAGCTTTATTTTTTATTGGAAATACCACGCACTATATAGAAACGGAAAAGTACAACGAAGTCTCTAAATTATATTTAAATTAATATTTAAGTCTCCATATGATTGAGAAATAAATGTGATATTTTCATTTTATCATTGAATTATTCTATCTAAAAAGCGAGTTCTTAACCATTAGTCAAATGCTTTTTTTTTTTTATAATGAAATACGCTATTTTTTGTTAGATGAAATGATTCCAGACACAAAGTATAAAGTAAAAACATTATTATTAAATGTAAATGGACATAAATATTTATTTAGATATCCAATAAATTAAAAACACTCATTTGTCATCTATAAATGGAAATACCTGATGAATATAGAAGTAGATTTATAAACTAACAATTGATGCATCTTTTTGGGGATTGAATTTTATTATTTGAAGACCCATAACTGGTGAAAGGAAAAAGAAGGAGGAGGGATAATTGTTATATATAAGGATCTAGCACATACCATTCATGCTTTGTGTGCTCAGGACAACTGTCCCTATGCCTTTTTGACACCACTTTATTTTTTTTTTTCTTTCCCAACAATCGATGTCTGATAATGGCTAACAACAAACAAACTTGGGAGTTTTGCTCCACGTCTGCATACATTTGCCTGTTACATTAATTAATTTAAAATATTGTTCTAAATTATCATTAAAAAAATTAAAAATTTTAATTTAAGCATTTTTTTTAAGAAATAAAAATTACCAATAATATCTATAATAAACTACAGAGGCAATATTAAGAAGAATCTAAGTCGTTTAACTTAATAGGATAATCCATAAAATATAAATATCAAGTGATATTATTTCTATATAATTAATTAATCAACATCAATCATATGATCTGATTAGTCTTTTCACTTATATAAAAAATAATAAATATCAAATTCGAGTTTTTTTAGCTGTAAATATCTGTTTTCGTCAAATTTAATAATAAACAACGGATAAGCTATATGGCAAAATCCATTCCCCTGCCACAAGCGGATTGATTGATATAACAAGAGGCAAATGGTAAAAATTTCAATGGCCTTTGATGGTAATAAATAGCACCAACCACAGCAAGACAGACATTTCACACTCTCCACGTAAAGGACAGCACCTACTTTCTAGACATTTTATCACCAGTTTTTAATTCGATATCATCCCATCAAATTTTAAAAAAGAAAAAATAACAAAAAGGAAATACAGGCTAAAATGTAAGGGTGGCCACGGTTTTGAAACCGAAACTGAACCAAAAATTTTTCATTTTGGTTCTAATTTAAAACCGAACGGTTCCGGTTCTGATTTCGGTTTAGAATCGAACGGTTGCGATTTTGGTTCTGATTTCGGTTCGTCGACGGTTTCAAAACCGACGGTTTCGATCGGTTTTTCGACAAATCGCATAATTTTAAATTTTAAATTTTGAAGACCGGTTTTCAAAATTTAAAAAATTTGTAAAAGTTATTTCTAAAAAAAATACACCTAAAAAATTTAAAAATGCTTAATTAAATTTATTTTTTAAAAGACTTGAACTTATTTATTTAAAAAAAAAGTCTTCAATTGAATTTATTTTTTGTTTACAACAAAATTTTAAAAAAAAACTGACAGTTTCTAACGGCTAGAATTGCCAGTTCGAACCGGTGGTTCTAACCGGCCGGAGAACTGGCGGTTCCATCCGGTTCTGACCGGTTTGCGGTTCCAACAAAATTGGAGCCGAAAACGAACCGAAAATCTCAGGTTTCGATTCCGGTTCGGACCAATTCCAGTTACGGTTACAGTTCGAAACCGGTTCGAACCACCGGTTCTAGTTTTCGGAACCGTAATATGGCCAGCCCTACCAAAATGTGAATAGCTTCAATCACCATTGTCTTGAAGCTTTTTATTTAAAGAAAGACAGATGAATGCTTTCTCTTTACAGCCGTCTTACCATATAATTCCCAATTCGGCGCGCAAAGGTCAAATGCATAAACTCCAGAATATGCATAAATTGACACCAAAAATTTAAAAGAAAAAAAAAAATAAAACCTGTAATTATATATTAATATATTTAAAAAATATCCAACGATAAGTAAAATTGTTATCCTTAAGAGTTCCACTATAAATATGAATTTCGATTGATGTTTTATAAATAAAATTATTCAATGTTTTCATTCTAAAAAGATAAATATTTATATTCCTTTACCTATTCTTACTAAATTGTAAATGAAAATATTTAATTTGTAAATGAAAATCAGTTTATAAACGTGTATTATAATTAAATTAAGGATAGATAAGAAAAGAAAAAAAATTTACGAAATTCAAAATAATCCGATAACTTTTCAAGTAAAGAAAGTTTTGAGACAATTTAGTCTTCAATGTCATTACTTTTACCTAATAATTAGGTCCTTTTACGTAATTAAAGATTTGAATAATTAAATTCAAGATAAGAATGGTTAGAAAGACACTAATCAAAACTTCACATTCAAAACACGGGAGAGAAAACTGAGCAGTAAATAGGAAGGGAAGGACTGGCTCTTCTGTGCGTCCATACCACAAACAGTGAAATAATGGAATCAAAACATTACAAAACAAAGATCTGAATAGTAACCTTGCAGTGGCAGCCTCTCTAATGGAAGACAAGTGGGCACTTATCTTTTCTTTTTTTTTCTTTTTTCTGATTCTCCATTAGTGCCCAATCATATTTAATTTATGTTAAATGCAATTAGGGTTTAATTTTTTTGCATAATTTCTCGTTTGAGCACCAGTGGATTTACGGTGGAGATAGATAATTATTTTTTTTACGTTTTTATTGTATATAATTAGCTTAATTTAAATTTATTTTACTATAGTTTTTTCACTTTAATTATGTTTATTCGTTTTCCTTATCAATCCGACGATCTAAATCCTCCAGGTTTTGAGTTTTTGATACGTCTAAATCGCAGTACGTATTATGCTGACAGCTGATACAAAAAAGAAAATATCTTACGCCAATTAGGACAAAAAAAAGAAAAACATGTGCGATTGTGTTATTAAGATGTGGGCAAGGGAGAGTAGAATTTCTGTTGGTATTATAAATGGGCCCTTAATGAAACGACATTTAACAATGACGTTTCCAATTGGGCGAAACTTTTTATTTATTTTTTATTTTTTGAAAATTCACAATTGGGCGGAACATAATGTTAACAATGACGACATTCTTTTCCGAAATACCGACATGGTAGCCACCCTACCAAAACTCTTTTACTAGAATATATTATATAATAATTTGAAGATCCTAATACGAGAATATATTACTTTAAAAAAAAAAAAAATACAAGAATATATTAAAAATAAAATAATAAAATTTAAGGTGATAAACGAAATAATTTATATTAGGCTTGGATGTAAAAGGTTTTGCAACAATAAATTTTTTTTTTTTTAAAAGAAATAAAAATTAAGAAACGAGAGAATTGACAATTTCTGAGGGGTCTGGAAGGCTGCGTGAAAGTCCAATTGGAATACAACTAATTATAATTGTGGGCCCATTGACAATGTAGAAGTCTTGTGGTAGGTATTTGCAGCCCATAAGAGTCCATCATGATTCATGCGGATTATCATTATAAGATTTAAGCTAATTTTTTGACTAGAAGAGTAGAAATCCACGCTACTAAATTTTGGCGCGAGATCAATTAAACGCATGAATTTATTTTCAAAACATAATATCGTCCATTTTATTAAGATAATTCCTTATTTTATTTTCTCATGTATAGCATAATTTTTAAATGATATATGAAATCAATAACAAATGTTATGCCAAATTTAAAATTTAAATAGTGAAATAACGAGAATTTAATATCTCGTAATAAGTTTAATTTTTTTTCTTTTTTTGAGTTGAAGGAGAGAGATTCGAATCTGAATCTATTATCAAGTTATACGTGCACTTTCTACTAAACTATATTTTGGTGTACAAATTTTAAAATGATATTTTTAGCAAAGAAAACTAGTAGTATCAAAATAAGATTAAAATTAAAAAAGAAATATGTTTTGAATCCCTAATTATCTCGTAAATAAATATATTTATTTTCATTTCATTTGAATTACATGAAATGTTAAATGATATTCAAATTCAGTGCATGTGGTAGAGAAGAAAGCAAAGTATTAATCGATTAAAGATTAGGATTTTGTGGTAATAATAGGTTTCGAACTCAATTCACGAAACCCCACACCCAAATTAAAAGAAAAACGAAAAATTAAATTATTCAAAGGTGGGCTCAACGACAGAGACCAAGGCCGCGTTGATCCAATCCATTTAGCCCATTAGTGCTTCAAAATGTCAGTTAGTAGTATTAACTAACAGAACTCTAATGAAAGTGCCGCGCTGACCTCACTACAGGATTAAGACAGGGGCGACGACTAGTCGACTACTGTAACTATAAAATCCTAACCTAAATTTGTTGAGATTGGTTATAAGAATCTTTTTTTTTTTTTTTTTCTTTCGGCTTAACATATAAAATCCTAACCTAAAAATTTTGTTGAGATTGGTTATTTAAGAATCTTATTTTTTTTTTTTTTCATTCGCTCTCTGTTGTCGCGCGTAATAATTAGTGCATCAACTACTTTATGCAAATTTTTTTGGCACATTTGAGACAATTTGGTTCTACCAGTAGGTAGTACAAATTTTTTTTAAAATTACTACCTTGACAGAAAGCTACCAAATATTCTATTTTAGGGAAGAAGTATTTTTTTTTTTTTTTTTTCATTCGGCTCTCTGTGGGTAATAATTAAGTTGGCATCAACTACTTTATGCAATTTTTTTGGCACATTTGAGACAATTTGTCTACCATAGGTATGTACAAATTTTTTAAAATTTGTACTTTACAGAACTATCAAATATTATTTTTAGGGAAAAGAGAGTATATGAACTCTATTGGTCTGATTAATTTTTTATTATTGTAAACCGTGTAAAATTTTGAATTCAAATTCTCTCGACTATAAAATCTTTAATCAATTTGTGAGTCAAGAGCGTTACCTGTGTTATATAGCCCCACCATGTTAAACTGCTTTATTCATTGAATAACATGCAATGAAGAAAAAAAATAGAAATTTACATATAAATATCCATTCTTAACATTGATTTAAATTTGAATATCGAATAATTATTTCAACAAATTTATAACCTTAATTGAATTTAGACAAATTTAAATATGTATATTTTTTTAATTCATGTAATAAATATTTTTCAAATTTATAGAACACATTGCATGTAGTACAAAATAGGTATTCCAGACCATGAAATAATCATTTTATTCGATTCGTATTCTATTCCGTGAAACATACTGAGACTATATATCTAAAAAGAGTATATTAATTGGATCACTACAAGAACTTGAAGACATTAAGCTACTTCAAAACTGTTGGATTGGGTTGCATGAACCCTTCTCTGCCACTGACTTTACCAAACTCCAAACAGACTACAATGGTTATGGAAGCAACGTTAGGTCAAAATATTGGCTAAAAACCCAGTACAATAAATAACAATTTTTATAAAAAAAAAGGCAGGAAAATCTTTTCTTTTTTCTTTCTTTTTTTTTTTTCCATTGATAAATGTATTTATGAATACATCAGGAAAATGAATGCTTCGCGCAAGCTTCTCTTTGCTGCTTTCACTAGACCTTTTCTGCCATTATATAATGGAAGGCAAACAAGTTATAGTGAAAGGAGCAAAAAGAAGCTTGGGAAGAGGACTTCCCTACTTCTCAGGGAAGAAACAATAATAAAGTCACTTACTGAAAACAAAAGGATGATAACTTGCTGTTTATCTTACTTTCTTCTCATGCACAATCTACTTCTACAGAAAATGTACAGCTTTCAAAAGGGGTATAAAAGCTTCAAAAACTATATTCAGTTGATGTGCAGCAGCCGATGTTAGTAGCTTAACTCCTCCAGATTATTGGTTTTAGTTATCCATTATGAAGTCAGCATGAGCGCTTTCTTTTTGCAATCGTACATGTTATTTATTCAGTCCAAATTGCAGCCATTTCACACAGCTGATCTTATCATATACATTATGGATTGCGGCTTTGCAGATGTTTTTCGCGGTACCTTCTAGCCTTTTGAGGGGCAATGATCTCAAGAGCACCATGGACACATTTGCGATATGAGAAGTCCTCAATTGTCCCATCTGTTCTAACCACTGAAAAGCAGCGTGAACCTTGATATTCTGGATGATTTACAACCTGTAAAGAATGGGAAAGGAAAGCATTATAAGTTTTTTACGGAAATTACACTAATATAAAATAAGCAAAGAGAACAGCTTTAAATTATGAACTCTGCAAAAGCATCGTCACATTTAGATAGATACATAGATTTTTAATATCCCTTTGGAATGTTTAACATTTGCAGCAAATCAACTTCCTGTTTGATTTTCACACACCTTGATATCTTGTGCTCCAGATCCAATTTTCTCATCTCTCCGAGGATGAAAATATAAAGCACTCATCAAGGTACATTTGTCAGCTTCATTTAATTGTTGATCTACCGGGTACCTTTATTCATAGCAGTTTAAAGATTGAGTCCAATCTATAAATGTTGTTTCAGAAAGAAATAATAGAAATAAAAAGTTCAATGAGCTAAAAGCAATGCAGACAAAAGCAGCTTGAAAGTAAGCATCATATTCGTTATAGCAAACCACAAATAGAATACATTTATGCCGAAAATATATCAGTTTAATGCAACAAACATAAATGAAGATATGAGAAGTGCCAAAAGAATGGAAATGGAACAGAATGTACATCACAACTAACAAAAGAGTGAATGAAAAAAGTTAAATAAATAATGCTCCAAAATTCAAGCATGATCCCAAAAGAAAATTATTTATGTTCTCTTTTACATTATTATGTAAAGTTAAGTTGAAGATGCAGAGAAGCACACGAGTTCAATAATAGCTTTGAAGCTCCTCTCTGAAAATGCCACCAGATATAACAAGACAATCCAACATGATACACAAGCTATAGAACTATCATAACTGCAACATTAGTAAACCCTTTTAACACTAGCTAGGAGTTACTTACTTATTCAATATTTTGCTGAGAGCCTGGGAGAGTCTATGGATATCATTATATGTCAACAACCTTCTTAACCTTTCCAATGTTCCTTTTGGGACATAATCATCAGTATTGTACACAAACTGGGGACCATATTTGTCAGATTTGCAGCCCCGAGTAAAAGGTACTTCGAACTCATAATTCTGCTTCTCAGCACTCATTTGGCTACCCAGCAGGTCGTAGACATCTACTGGCTTTGAAAGTTCAAAACCCTGACGAGTGAAGATGAATATAAACAGAAGATTAGACCATTCGAAAACAAAAATCAGCTCTAGGGATTTCAAATAGTAGCTGATGTGCCTCAGGCTTCCTCCTTTCTAAACCAAACAAAGGATTTCAAGTACTTTTAAGACCCAAAACTTGGAGAATGTTTAAGTTTAATCTTTGGCTAACTACTTTGTTTAGGGAAAACAATGTAAGTTTACCTTCCCAGAGTAGATAATATCAAACTGTCCAGTCCCAACAGGAGGAGTCTTCCCCCATGCCAAAGCATCCAAGCTCCCTCGAAGATCATCCATGACTCCTCCCTTGGCAGCTTTGATGAAGCAACTACCAGGACTCTGCAACAAATTTCAGAATATAACCATCACCCGCACTTGACACGACCAATCAAGATAATATGAAGATAGAGGCAAGTGTGTAAAAACTAACAGAAAAGCATGCTTGCACAAATGGTGAAAGGACTGATGCATGTTCTCTTTGCCGTTTCCAGCCTTTTGCATTTAGACCAACAAACTCGCCTGTAACTGATAGGCAATTTGCAACAAGAATCAAATGTTCGGGAAGTACGCTCTTGCCAACATCAGATATTGCAGACTTCAAATTCTGTGTTAGAAATTGCGTTAGCAGGTAAGCTATGTATCAATTGACAATAAGTATCACATGCAAAGAACATTAAAAAGTCTCAAGTAACGCACATTAAGGAAAAATTCCCATCCAGCATCTATTCCATAGGCCAAACAAAAATCGCGTATATTATCTGAATGACTGCGTGTCCAATCAATCATATCCATTATTGGGAGACAGTGATCCACAAGTAAGTTCCAGAGTCTTGTTTTGTCAGATCTTCCTGACATTGAAACCCTTAAGTAGAGCTCACCATAGGAACGATTATGCGACTTCTGTATCCTTGGTCTTTCATTCCATAGAATATCCACCTTCTCTATCTCCATTAATCCTAGCCATCAAATAAGAAACCCAGAGCAAACATCATGTCCACTATAACACCAAAAATCTTTAATTACTTATTAGTAAGGGAAAAAAATGCACACTCTAGAACTTCATTTGTTTGTAGAAAATAACTTGGAAAACATTTACCAGATTTTGTTATGTTAAGGGGGGCTTAGGAAAATCAATAAGTGGGAAATATTTTTAAGTCATTTCAAAAGAAAATAACTTCCCTTTTTCACAAGAGAGGAAAACATTGAAAAGGGCAAGTCATTTTCTGGACATTTACAAACTTACTACAACCTTATAAACACACACTTATGAATCTACCGATTAATGGGAGTCACCAATCACCGCTAATCATCATCAACCACTGACCACCACCACCATCAGTCATCGACAACTAACACAATTTATCATTTCTATGTATTTTTTTGGCATGTCTAATAATAAATTTTTAAAATATAAAATTTCTATAATTCTAAATATTTTTATACTCTCATAAATCGATAATTTTAATATCTTTTTAACAATTTTCAATATTACAACCAAACAATAGAAATAAATTGTTTGGAAAATATTTTGCAGAGTGAAGTTATTTTTAAGAAACAAATGGAGCCTAAAAATTAAAATAATTCACTTAGAAAAGACATGCAAATCAAAATTTCAGCTATCAAAAACCCTGCAATGTGAAAACCTAAACAAGAAAAACTTCTGTGCACCACCAACCTTTTAAAACTGTTTCAAGAAGAAAAGGAATAATCAGGTCTCGAATTGTGTCCAATTTTATAGATGAGTTCTTGGCCTTCTCAATTACAGTAACAGTAATACATAGTGTATCTTCTATTTCCCTGTGATTGTCGGCTACAGAACAGTCCCTGAAAATCAATCAACCAAGTAAAGAAAAAGAGTACACTCAATATAAGAAATGTAGAAAAAGTTTTTATACAGTTTATGATGCAAACATCCCCAAAAGAATTGGATGTGATGAATGATAAAAATTTTAAATCTCAACTGTGTGCAGCCATATTAACTATGATACTTCAGGAAACCAACAAAAAAAAAAAAAAAAAAACCCAAAAGAGATTGTGATGTGGATGAATGATAAAAAATTTTTAATCTCAACTGGTGCAGCCAATTACACTATATACGCTTCAGGAAACCGAATCAAAAAAAAGAAAAACAAAAGAGAGAGAGAGAGAAGAGGGAGGTCTGAGCGAGAGGGAAGGAGATGATGGAGAGAAGACGATGTTGGAGAGGAACGTGGAGAGACAGAGAGGAGAAAAGGAAAAGTTAAATTGTTTGAAGTACTGGTATAAAGACTAAAGTAGGCATCCAATCTATTCTTAGGAAAAAGTGCCTCCAGCCAACCAGTATCCTCTCTCTAGACTTGCCTATTACCTTTGGATTACGCTAATCTGAACACATTCGAAGCCCCGAACAGACAGTAGTATGTTGATGCAGCTAGTGCAATGGTTGACCCACCTTTCCATTTCACCTCTATTATTTTGCTATCCTGTTGATGCTGATAACTATTAACTTTGGTTGTGATGTCCCGCTGGCTATCGCAGTGTGGCATTTTTTTAAAAGAGCATTTCAATTACTTACAATGTCTGTCAGGATCTACTAAATTAAACTCAATACTAGCCAAAAACTCATTCTCTTGATGATAGAACTGAGTATGTCAAACATGAGAGAGAGAGAGAGAGAGAGAGAGAGAGAAAAGAAAGTAAATTTTTGATATAAGATAAAGTAGCATCCAATCTTTCTTAGAAAAAGCTCCACCACCCAGTATATTTTAGATTGCTTTACTTTGGAATCTAACACATTCGCAGAACAGACATGTATTATGCAGTACTGCAATGGTTGCACCCTTTCCATTTTATATTTTGTACTTTGATGCATTAACTATTAACTTCTGGTTGTGATGCGCTGTATCAGTGGCATTTTAAAGACATTATTACTTAAATGTTGGATCTATAAACTTAAAAATACTAGCAAAAACTCATTCTCTTGAGTGATAGAACTGAATTCAAACATGGAACAGATATCATCCAGCCTGCCAAATGGTGAGCTGATGCAGAGTTAACAGCTGGCTGCAGTTGTACTTCAGATAATCTAGGGAAGTGCTAGGCAGACAAGCAAGACAATATTCAAATTCAGTTTAGCATAGCTTATCCAGTGGATAAGGACCATGTAAAGGGCGTTTTTACTGAGCAAAATGAATGGCAAATCCCCTACCACCAGAAATAAAGAATCTAACTCATAGGAAAAATTATAGATTCTCTATTCTTAGGGCAAATAAATTCCATTACACAGCTTAAAATAAAACAGAACTATCTTTAATCATGCACAGGTGATGGTAAAGCATGAGGAATAGCTTACTTGCATGTAATTTGCACATTGGGCAGAATTGTTTGTGATTTACACTGCTTATACAGAGCATCAATTATGGAATGAATACTTAGACTTCTCTTCTTCATAATTTCCTGAAAAGACAACTTTGTTTCACAAATAGAATTCAACATGTACATAGAGAAGGACTAAATATTCACATTTTTTATCACCTTGTCCACATGGAAATGGCAAACCCAAGGACTGAAACGCGTTTTGCTGTCAGACTGTGGAGAATGACTGATGTTGACAGAACACATTGATTATTACAGCATAAACATTATACTATAGTAAATTATACTATAGTAAACATAAAAAGGATAGGAAACAGAAATCAAAAGATACAATGGCTCAAGCGACAATATCTGAAAACATGTAATAAAAGAAGATAGAATCTCACATTATCCTTGAAATAGAAACAATATCTGAAAACAGTAGTCTCTCCAAGTGGTTTTGAACTTCTAAGGCACCATACTCAAAACCATGTCTCCGTCTTCCAAGTTTGTCAGATAAAAATAGAGTCACAGATTTGTGAGCATTACTCTTTTTCAGACCACACTCTAGTACATTCTGAGCAATTTATTCAAATCATGAAAAACTTGTTAGGAAATCAAGGGCAATAAAGGCATTCAATTAACTAGGTTATCATGGAAAATTCAGTTAAATTGTGCGAGGATGCAGTTAGCAATTGTAGCAGAAATTAGAAAAATCCCAAAGAAATGTATCTAGTTTCTCAGCAAAGACGAAAAACAGCATTTTTCCATGAGGCCAACTATATAACTATTTCTCATCCAATTTCATAGACCTTCTCAGAGCAAGTGTCAACTGCTTTCTAGCAGTTCAGTTTCCAGGTTTGTGAAGCATCCACATCTAAGTAACAGAAAATGCTTAGTGCCTTGAAAATTTTGGATTCATTATAGAATCAGAAGAAGTAATGAACATCACATGTGCACACAGAGAGACTTCAGTGATTGATGAATACATTTATCCTTGCCATTCACGAGTAACCTACTTATTTGCCAGAACATGGTTATGAAGCCTGGAGCCTCTATACACATGTTATCATTTGAGGACGAGAAAGGGGGAAAGGAGTACCTTTAGATTTAGCAGAGGTGATTTTTCAAGTAGACTGATTGGTTGATCCAAAGCACTATACGCTGCTTCAGAGATGGCACAAGCAGCTAATGAACCCACAGGTCGGCCACCTATCCCATCAAAAGTATCAATGATCTGGCCACTGCAATTAGTCGGACAAGATGTTTCCTCACGATTATAATAAGAGAACTGAACAAGCTGATTCCCATATGCATTTCTTATCGTTCCATCATATGCAGCATGTATATCACGCATGAAGAACATAAGTCTCCGAGTTAAAGTCCCAGGAAGATCAGCATTGTCACTGAAAGAGCTATCTCGACTTGTTACTGAATGGACAAAACATTCTAAGGGATTCAAACCTGTTAGAAAAGAACTTTTAACCACGGCAGATGGGATATAACACTTGGCACATTCAGTAGCATTGTCATCCTTTTGCTTGTTCCAAGCATCACAAGAGAGTTGGTGAGGCATTCTAAAGGATAATGGAACAAGTGAATGTTGCAGCCCTAGACACATGCTATGCTGCACTAATTTCAGCAGATTACCCTTACTTCCTGCCTTAAACATGGTCATCAATGCATTGTCCTTACTAGCATATTTGTAGGCTAAAATTTGAATATCACGAAATACGTGCTTGAAAGCATCAACAGAAGCTTGACTGAGTGCAGCAGATCTCTGTTTCTCATAACACAAGTGCTCTACATCCAAACCCATGGGATGCTCATCATCTTCACCATTTCCAGCAAGGAAATCTCGGCAAGAATCCACCATGAACTGTTTTATGTTACATGTATGATCTGCATCTTGTAGTCCATATGAAACTTCACACATCATGTTTTTCCATGCATATGAGTCAGGGCAGAGGTATAAATCAGAGAGCGAAACACTCAAGCCCCTCATTGACAACCACTCACAAAGAACTTCTTGAGCAGTACACAAAAAGTCAAGAACTTGACTCTGGCAGTGTTTTATGAGGCTTTGAAAGAGGTTTCCATCAGTGTCACGTAGCCAAAAAGAACCTTCAGAAGAAATAAGTTCTCCATCTCGAATGTAAACATTATTTGAAGGAAAATCATGATCAAAACCTCGAGGTAGGAGCATGCTAACCAATTGCTTTCCAGTCCAAGCACAGTCATTAGGCAATGGAGCTTTCACAATAGCAGGAGACAGCAATTGCCGAGGACAAAACATTTGCAGTTGCTGCATTTCGAACAGGCTTAAGAATACTCCATCCTCCATGACCAAGTGAGCAGCAACTAAACTATCTTGATTGAGAGAAAGAAGATTCCTGCCACTCTGTACGTTAGTTAATTGCTTATCTAACGCAACAAGCTCACAGAGCTCAGCTCTCGTGTCAACCGATTGAGGAACATAACCATGTAGGCAATCACCATCAAAATCTCCACGAAATGGGGGACAACAAAGTGGATTGATAGCAAGAGCTGCGGCCGCCGGGAGAACTTTAACAGAGAGTGCAATGAGGGAGTGTTGATGTATAGAAGGAGGCCTATTAATCAAAACAGTATCTCCATCATTTAGAGGCCTATAAATGATGTCCCCAATGCGGAGATCCTTAGTACGACGAACCCGAACCAGATTTCCTTCTCTGCGGACATGCATCTCACCCTTCTCAAGAAGACGTACTTCGCAACAAGTAGTCAACCTCTCCCGGTTCCATTTTGTCAGATGTTCTGAAACTTGCAACCTTTCTGCAATGTGACAGGGAATACCAATTTCACTGAGCTTAATATTAGGATCACCAACAACCACCATACGGAATGAATTATCATTTCGTTTTCCAAGAACAACGTCTTTAACCCATCTTAAACCAGATGAATTGGAGGCAGAATCATTGATCTTCCTTTGCAGCGCATACATATCATCATTATTTACTGAATTGTCTGGGTTTAGCTGCAAATTAAAAGACTAACAATAAGAATAAAAGATTATCTTTCTTAAGGATATTGATTTAAATACAAATAGGAGGAAGAAAAAGTGTTGTATTTGCCTTAGAAGTTTTCAGGCAGTCCAGAACACGAAAACTCAGTTCTTTTGCTGTCCCTCTGAAATCAACCAATTTTTTGTAAGCCCTAGTCCGTTCATCCTACCATTGATCATATTCAAGCAGCACAAGAACAAAGAGGATACTGTAAGTCATGCAAGTTACTATAATAAAAAATCCAACAAAAAAAAAAAAAAAAAGAAGAAAAAGTGCTTGTATTTGCCTTAGAAGTTTTCAGGCAGTCCAGAACACGAAAACCAGTCTTCTTTTGCTGTCCCTCTGAAATTCAACATTTTTTGTAAGCCCTAGTCCGTTCATTCCTTACATTGATATATTCAACGCAGCACCAAGAACAATAGAGGGATACTGTAAGTCAATTTGCAAGTAGCTTACTATAATAAAAATCCAACCAAAAAAAAAAAAAAAGCAACTCTCTAGAATTGTAACTTACAAAGACCAAGCGCCTGGGGCCATTAGAAAAAAAAAAAAAAAAAAGCACTTCTAGAATTTATACTTACAAAGACCAAGCGCTGGCCATTAGAAAATGCATGAGTAACTTCTGTCACACGATGACAATTTGGTGTTACTGGGAAACAGTTAAGGAAAATTGAATCTGTCTTTAAAACAAACTTTTTTATGAAATTTGGATCCACATCCTTCAACAGATGACGAACCTAAAAACAAAATGCATTCACCATATACATATAAGATGGCATATGAAAGAACTAACATGAGCAGATACAGAAGCAAAATTTTTAGAAGAAAAAGAGCAAAAGATAGAACTAGGTTGATAGAAAGAACCAGCAGTGTAATGGGCTTAAAGAGAAAGCCTCAAACATAAAAGCTTGACCTTGATTCTATAGTCGTTTCGTAATTTTCTTAAGCCATTTTAAATTCTGAATACAAGTTACAGTACATCAAGTAACTAATTATATTGCCAGACATGACATTCATTCCTTTGCAACAATAAAAGGAGTTTTTTTTTTTTTTTTTTTTTTTTTTTTTGCCAAGAACTTCAGGACTTTCCACGAAAAGAGATTGCCCGAAACTCCAACTATTGATGAGTATCGAAGCAAAAAGTCGTCTTCGCTGATTGGAGCAGTCACCTATAAAGAATATTATTCAATTAAAGCTTGCAATTTGCCCCACCTTTCATTGCGGAGGGTCATCAAATGTTTAAACTAACAAAAGCATCCAATGCCGCAGAGAGTGTCACCTAGTCCATCAGCTACAGAGAAGCCTCTGTAACACTTCTGTTTTTTTTTTTTTTTTTTTTTTTTGCCAAGAACTCAGGCTTTCCACGAAAGAGATTGCAGAAACTCCAAATTGATGAGTATCGAAGCAAAAAAGTCGTCTCGCTGATTGAGCATCACCTATAAAGAATATATTAATAAAGTTGCAATTTTGCACCTTCATTGGAGGGTCATCAATGTTAAACTACAAAAGCATCCAATGCGGAGAGTTTCACCCTAGTCCATCAGTACAAAAGAAGCCTTAACACTTTGCATATTTGGAATGCATGAAATGACTTTTTGAGTATTTGAAATTTTTGGTCTATGGAGAAACTAGATTAGCATAATGGACTAACAATAAATCGGTAAAATTGCCAAGCCCAAACATATGTGGCATGCCTAGATGATTAGATGTGAAATGTAAGTAAAGCAAGTTAGCTCCTCCTTTTCTGTCCTTATTTAAAAATAGAAGTCATACAATTGCAAACCTAGATTGTCAAATTATGCTTTTAATCAACACATTAAAGAAACAAACCATATTTAAATAAGAAAACATAATTAAAAGATCGAATGAAATACTATAGTGCATTGAGTATTACAACAATAGTCAACTAGAAACATTGCAACAGAAAAACATGTACTATGATACGGCCATTTATGCTACCTGTGCATGCGTCAGAACTCTTTGGTTTGGTCTCAAAGTGTTTTCTTCTTGTTGTTCGTCCTTTGGAATTATATCCCAATAATCAGCAGCCAACCTTTTCTTTCGACCTCTCTTGTGAGAGTTTTGCGGTGGCCTTTCACTGATTTTTGCTATGATTACATTTTTCCTGAAGATTTCTTCAGAAGAAACAGAAAACTTCATAGTAGGATACCCACCTATTGTATTTCCCTGTTTGTAGCATAAATGACCATTCTGAATCATACAGGTCAAGAAAAAAGGTCAATGAAAAAGAGTAGCAACGGACTTACAACGCAATATTTGCAACCCTTATGCAGATTTTCTTTAGATTTTGAATCAGTCCGCTGATACATGCACAAGATATGAAAAGAAAAGTTCACCAACATGCACACCCAGAAAAAAGATATTAAATACTAAAATAATATAACAAACGGATTAACCCATATATGTCCCTAATCATCATATGAAAATAGGCTGACCTGCATTAATCTAATAAGGCATGAGCGATGACATTGACAAGAAAAGAATTCAAATTGAAAACTCAGTGATTTTCCCAGTTTGAAAACAAATCATGATCAATGATTTAATGCATTTAACAAAATTAAAAGGAGAAGTTTCCATTAATGATTAGATGTAGACAAAAAAAATAAATCGATAATGAAAAATATTTCATTTTATAGAAAACTAGCTCTCTCAAGTATTTAATTGGAATAATATGTTAATATTTATCATGGTTAAATTTATTTAGTCACAAGTAAGGCACTCTAATTCTTTCTAAAAACCATTAAAAACAGTTCATCACAAGAATCAAATCACCTGACCTTGGACTCTTTCCGGATGGATTTACATCCTGGGCAAACTTTGTTCAAAATCTTTACAACTTCGGACAGGTAATAAGGATGAACTATCGTGAATGGAAATTTAATAACCCCAAAATGACCTGAAACTTAGCATATTAGTACAATTTTCAACAACAAAAGATCAATAGCCAACAAGATACACATAAACTTTCTTCCACACCTTCACAAAATTTTGAATCTTTGGATCCGCAAGTGGAGCATCGAAAAGATGGATTTGGCAATCCCAACTTGGGATCAGTGACCTCACCAACTGCATCAATTGCTAGAACTGAAAGTTTTTCCTGTTACAGTACAAAAACTTTATATATACTGTTTGATATTGAGTGCACTAAAATGCTATTAAGCTTATTATGTTAAGCAGTATCTCAAACTTAAATAAAGATCAAATAGCCACTGCACTGAAATTCTCCTTAAAGAATATTAAGGTCCAGGTCACCTCTAATTTCTCACCTACAGAATCATCAAAAGAATGAAGAGCAATTAAAGTTTAATAAATACACACACACACACACACACATGCATGTTACTTTGTCCAAAACCAGCCTATGTCAATAATCTGCCCTACTATAAGCAGAGCAAAAATTACCATGTTTAGGGTTATAGATTAAGAAGGCAAAAGCATTTAATATTTATATTTTATAGAATATTATTAAGCTGGCATACTTCATTATTAAATTCATGCTGGTTATCCTGAGTATCTTCAACATAACCTATTTTCCTGTAATCAACATGTCATAAGTTTTTTAAAATAAAAAACCTGAGCATAGACCAAGCTTTGGAGACAATTTCAGTCATACACAGAAATTTCTACCGGTAAAAACTGAACTTTTGAATATAAAAGTTCCAATCCAACGGTAAAGATCTCGTTTTCACAATGCATTCGTGCTTTCTTAATCATTGTGCGGACTAATTATCGACCATGCAATCAATTTGACATAATGAATCAATGTATTTCTTCGAATGTCGTTTTCCTGCACAATATACTTAAAAAAGAACTCACCTTTTCTGCCTCAGTCGAAATACCAAACGAAAGGGCAGTTAACAGAGCAGATGGCACTTGCTGCTCGTCAGAAAAATCAGTCTCCATTGAACTTGGTGAACTTTGAGCTTATTTGCAACTAATCCAGCACCCTGCAAATAGTATCAGATCGCATACAATAGTCGACAAGCAGAAAAGATTTCCACTAGATAATCAACTGACATTCATTGAAAAGCCATCCAAGGGAGAATGCACGGAGAAGAAACCATAAACACAGACAGAGCATCAAATTGACTGATGAAGTTTAATAGCTTATAATGCCGAGAAGAACACCCATTGTATACTAACGGATTGTTTGGCTGGAACTTGTTTTTTTCTTTTCTCTTGGGGGGTTTTGATGGTAGGTAAAGTAGGGTTAAATTAATTGTCAGAGAAGAAGGTTTTGAAGGAGGGGAGGTTTTCCTTGTGGGTATTGGAGGGGTTTAAAGCCCTCAAACCTGTTAATCGTTTCTCCTTCAATCAGCTAATTGGGAATTGAAAGGTTTAAGAATGTTGATTTCCTATAATATCCATAATTATTTTCTAAAAATTCAAAATTGCCTCTACCTAATTTTTAATTTTTGTTTCTTAATACTAGTTAATAGTGCTTTTTTTTTTAATGTCCTTCGAAAAATTAGCTTATGAAAAACAAGGGTATTGGTATAGTTTTTATATTTAATTTTATCTTTCAATATTCTCAAATAAAAAACAATTTAATATAATTAAACATTATTTTATTTTATTTTCTTGTCAAATATAAAACACCATACCTTATTTTATTTTACTTTATTTTTATTGGATCAAACTTTTTGATTCTATCCAAATAAGTCTAAGAAAGCAATAAGCTACTTTTACTTAAGCAGTAAGTAAATCAATTAATGGTTTTATAATAAAACATTTAGGTCATTTTTAGCGAAATATAATTCTTATTCCTTCTTCCTTTATTTAGTAGCAAATAGAATTGCGTAATAGATAATAAATGTGGAAATTGATATGTAATTATTATGATGGTTATTTTTTATAAAATATCATATCTACACTTGTTTTGAATGTCATTTATTGATTTTTTATATATATATAAATATTGTATACACTCGAATTACAATAATGAATTTGTCCCATTGATTTTGCCAAAATATACTCATGTGAATATTATTTTTTAGAAAAAATTAGGAATAAGAATTATAAATTAAAAAATAGTTCTATTATTATTTGGAAATATTAAAGTTAATCATACAATTATCTTAAAGAATAAGCTTTTTTAACAAAATTATTAATTGAATAAACTAACCGAACAAACAGTTTGGCATAATAAGTACAGTGAAAAAAAAGAATAAGAATAAGAATATAATACATTCGATGTATTTTAGGATTACAATTTAGTATTTTGAAATTACAATTTAATATTTTGGAATTATAATTTAATTGATTCGAGTTGCTAGTTATATTTAGCAAAAATATTTAAAATAAACTTTTTTTTTTAAAAAAAAAAAACTAACTAAATTAGCTTGTCAAAACCTCTACAAAATTATATCATAGAGCTATTATTAAGGTGCAATAACTTTTTAAGTAACTTTTAGTATTTTGATTTGTCAAAACGATAAAAGGTACTTAAAAAGCTATTCCGTAACTTAGCGTTTGAACTAACTTTCAGATATTAGAATATGAAAAGTTAACTCCTGTAATGTTTAGCTTTTAGCGTTTCGGCTCTGTTCAGTAAGAGTATTTGGAGTAGTGTTTAATGTTTTAATTGAGTTAAAACACCGTTTTAATAAATGATTATGTTTGGTAAAATCACATATGTCTTAACGTTTAGAATTTGATACAGTGTTTCATGAAATGTTATCCTCATTAATGTTTAGCATTTTATAAAAACATTAATGTTCAAATAATTTTGATAAAATGAATAAGTTAAATAAATAAAAAATTGAAAATTTTACTTTGTAGAAGGAGTAGGATAATTTTGTTATAAAATATTGGATTACTTAATTTTGTAAAATTCATTTAGAAATTTCACATATTTTGGTGGAATTTGGTTTAGTTACATTCAATTCTATATTTTTTCCATTCCAACACACAAAAAAAAAAAAAAATCTGAATAAATTTCATAAAATTTTGTAAAATTCATCTGTTCCAAAGAAAATGTAAAGAAGGAAATAAAGTCTTTGGAACTATAATTTTGTTGATTTAGTTTAGCAAAGACATACCAAATTAGCTTGTTAAAATCTCTTTAAAGTTGTGTCTTATGGCTAAGTTTAAGTATTAGTTTAAGCCATTGCATATTGTTCATTTTAATTTCTACGGAAAAATTATTATCTCTGTTCTATAATATTTGTCACATCTGAGAAAATAATTTGTTCTAAAATACTTGTAACATTTATGGTTCCAAGGAGTAATAAATATTTTTTTTATGTTTAACTTTTGTATATGACAAATAATTATTATTTCAATTTAATAGTTTTCTTTGAGAATTAGTACTAAATTAAGGGTAATATAGTCAATTTATTTAATAATTTATTGAAATTTAGATAAATTTAATAATTTTCTTAAAAAACGTAGAATTTCAAATGTGATAAGTATTATAAAATAGAGGCAAGTAGTATGATAATGGAATTATGAAAAGGTGTTCTTTTATTACCATTTGGGGAAAACCGCAAAGAAAAAAAGATTTCTAAAAGTTGAATGAGAATATTCGAATTAAATATGAAAGTTATGAATAGTATACAAGTACAGGCACATTTAAACACAGAAGAGAGTATTATTTTGATGGAAGGGGTAATTTTGTAGTTAATGCTATCGGTCGAGGGGCATTTTAATACAGATGCGAGTATTTAGTTATCGTTTAATTTCCAGAGGGAGGTAAAACAAGAGTCAAAGGGCAATAGAGTAAAAATAAAAACATAACATCGAGGTTAGAGACGACAGTGGCTACGTAGTGGTTGGTTAAATGCAGAACTGTAACCGCCTTAGGTGTTGTATTGTGCTAATACAACAAACGCAAATGCGATTACAGCCGTTGATTTCGGTGTGGGAGCCGTGATGACATGGATTAACCATTCGAACGCATTTAATCGTCAAATCAACATTGCAATCGTGATAGATATGACTGTACCAAACAATAACAAAGATTCACGAGTACATTATCGCTTGTGCTCAAAACATAGCTTTCAAAATAAATAAATAAATCCCTTAAAAAAATTAAATAAATAAACAAACACGAAAATGTATACGACATTGACAACCAATGAGGTGACCGGTCGGTTGGGCATTCGGTTTAATCAATTTAGTTAAATCGATTCCATGAAAAACTAATCAATTAATAATTCGGTTAAAAAAATATAATTTTTAGTGAGTTACTTAAGTTTAGTTGAGTAGAAAAAAAAAAAGGCAATGTAGCTCTATTAAAAATATTATTCAAATAGACTGAATGCCGCTTAAGCATCGGTGAGCTTAAATCAAACCGATTGATTTTACACTCCTATCTAAACTTTGTTCCGCAATTTGAGCTGTTCTAGTAGATGTTAGTTGTTAATTATTTATATATCGGTTTAAAATAAAAATATTCGGTAAGAATAATGTTTGAATAACTATTTAATATAAAAAGACAAAAAAGATAAGGTCATAAAGGATAAAACAAAGACAAGTGATGTATATAAGCTAAATGTTAATAAGAATAGATGTGACGCTAAACGTTTATAAAATACTGTCTCAAACTTTAAATGTTATGATAAATGTGATATTATCAAACACAATAATTAATTATAATAGTATTTAACTCAATTAAACTACTAAGAAGCACCGCTCCATACGCTCTTACCAAACAAAGCCCTAGACTATTTTTTAAAGATTTTATTTATTTATTTATTTTTTTTCATAATAGCACCTTAGCATTTGCTGCTCAATAATTGTTTTTTTCAAGTGAAAATTCCTATTGTACAGAAGAAATGTGCTTTAGTTGTTGAGCCAAAAGAAACTTTTGTATTTTAATGTGTGTATTTAATTTATTTGGAGCTATTAGGATAGAATCCACTTTTTAATAAATAAAACAAAAAGAAAAATGATATAAAGATATTGATTATCGGGAATATGTTTTTAGTTTATTCTTTTTATTTCGAAAAGTGAGTTCAGTGAAGTCCAAAAGAAGGAGCTTTTTCTCCCAAAAATACTATTAAAAACCATCTTCGAAGTTAAAAACTTTATACTCGGAATATAATCAAAATCAAAATTATTTTTTCAAAAAAATATTATCTCTTATATGAAATTTTGTATTTTTTTTAATTTAATGAATTAAAAAAATCAATTTTTTATTCGATATTATATACAATGAATATGTAGTATACATTTCATTACAAAGCCCATTAAAAATAATGAAATCCACTACGCGAAAACGATACAAATTGAAATTAATTGTTATAATATTAAGGATTGAACATGGGACCATGTCCCGAGCATGACCCTACCACCAATGTAGGTGATGATTTGCAATTAAAAAAATCAATTCATGGACATGCAGTAATGCATTGAAATTTTTAAATATTAGCTATGTATTCTTTTCATTTCAAAATAGAAGCTGTTATATGAAGATTAAAAAAAAAAAAAAACATTGAAATTTTTAATATTAGCTATGTATCTTTCATTTAATAGAAGCTGTTATATGAAGATTAAAAAAGATTAAAAAAAAAAAAAAAGAACTAATATCATTAAATTATATAAAATTAATTATAATTTGATCGTATTATTCTTTAACTTCCAATGAATGATAACTCATTAAAATAATTTAATATAACTAAGAGTAAATTAAAAAAAATATTCATTATTTTTTAAAATGCTTAACATGATTTTTTGAGACATAAAGAATAATTCATTATTTTTCCGGTTTGAAATAAATGAAATTTTATAAAATAAAAAATAAAAAAAACAAGTGGGGTCGAAGATGGCAACCACGTGGCACGCATGCACTGGAAGGGCAGGGAAAAAATTGGTCAGTAAAACTTACGTGCTGAAAAACATTTGCCTGTACACAAGTCAATGAGTACATAATTTTTGGTACAATGAGTATCCGGCAGAAAAGATTGAGCATAGAATGGATCATAATTCCGCATAAAATATAAATATTATTAAAATTAAATTAATTTATAATATAGAAAAAATATCTAAGAGATGGTTTGAATTAATAGAATTTAAACTATGAAATATATACCTTTCGTGAGCTTTTCAAATTCTTTAATTTAATTTAGAAAAAATAGATTATAATCTATAAATTTAATAACTTTCAGCAACGCTCAATTCCATCTTTTTTTTATTAATAATTTAATTTTATTTAAAAAATATTTTTTAAATCCATGTATTTTGTTTTTCCAATTAAATGGCGGAATATGAAATTTCATTTGTTTCACAAAAATGTAACAAAAATTCCCTCTTGATATTTGGATGTGTGAGAGGAAAAATGGGGAGGAAAAAGTAATTTCA